AAAAGTTTAATTTTTCATCGTCTTCCTATAAATACTATATTGAATATACAGATTTTTATCCCGAATGAAGTATATTCTTTTAAGATAGACTTTGAAAAAAGTTCATTTACAATTTTTCGAAAATATGAGTAGTTTTTGCACAATTTTGCATGAAACGTAGACAATTTTTAAACATATCCCTTTTTTGTGTATAAAGAAAACTTTGAAAATGTCTTATTAATTTTGGTATTAAATTACTGTAACATGAAGAGCGCATTTACTTTCGCGCCTTACTTCGCAAGAAGAGAAAGTATTGAAAACGTGCTCCGAAAAAGGCGGTTTTTCGACAAATAAAAACTGTTACTCTGAGGCCCTGACAATGGAAAAGCAACTACATTATGTACCTTTATGAAATAAATTACTTCCTCAAGGCTTCATGTAAAGTACCCTCAAAGATCAATATATGCGTTCCAAACGTGCAGGCCTTTCAGATGGATTGGGAAATATCAATTTTGGAGAAAATGGCAAGCAGTTTAGGCGCAAGCGTTGACCAGAGACGGACAGTGTATGATGAATAGCGCATTCAAGATCCCACATATCGTGAAGCACAAAATGAATTTCTAAAAGGAAGACAGAATCAGCAAACTTTTATAACAAATGATTATTCATAAACTTAAATTAAATTAATGTGTAAATATTTGATTGGTTATCAATGATATAACAATGAATCATTATATTTTTAGATATATTTCATACTTTTAGTTGTTTTTCCAAATCAGATTTCTTTTAGTTTTCTTTCTCTTTAGATATAATTGAAATATGTTACACAAAACACATGCTACTTTTGGATCAACCCTAATATCGATTAATATGACTGCACTTATGTACTGAGTTTATGTTAGCATATGCAACCTCGAAAAAAACCAAAATTTTCAATTATTTATTATTTTGTAAGCGATTTCCAATGTTGTTCAATGTTATAACTTGCATATCTAAAAGTTTTAATTTGTTTCATAATACTTTTTAGTTGTATTTTTTTGTTTTTGTTTCGAAAAAACAACAACAAAAAAACGCTGTTAAATTTGCAGATCTCTCTAGCAGCTTTCCAGCCAATGTATGTTTATGTTTTTTTCATTGTCTCACTTGCAGAAGTCGCGTGGGAAGTACCAGGAGCACCAGTTATTACTACAGTTATATAAGAGACCTGGCTAACACTATTTAATAATATTTGATCTTCCTTCTGAGTAACAGTTACATCACACACTTCAATTATTTCAAAATCACCCTGATCGTAAAAAAAATAGTGCTTGATTTTGCTGTTGTATCTAAATCTTTAATTGCAATTTTGGATATTGTTGATAATTTTATTACATCCACAGAAGTTAAGTCTATAGGTAGGGGAGGGCCTTCTCCAGTTCTCTTCCTTTCGTTATTAATAATTTCCTGTTTGCCTTTCACTACTGGTTACGTCATGCCACATTTTATGCCAGGGCCTCAAGTACAGCGTCGCCAGTATCTTCTGTACAGCCGCGATGACAATCAATTGCAGAGCTAACTGTTCACACGTTTTTTCGGATTCTTTCCCAGTGAAAGTGGATCAGAATTTTCCACTTGACAGGACAATAGTTGTGTTCATATATAATCAGCTAGAGATAACTTTGGTACTAGCTTGGGCATTATAGTGTAATTTTCTTGTTCTCTTACAAATAAATATACAGTTCTGTCTAATAATTGTAAACACTAAAATAACCATGAGCGCTCAGTGAAAACCAGGGGCCTGGGGCATTTCATCCAAACAGGGTCTTCTTTCAAACCCAAAATTCTCTCCTCCTCCAATTCAAAAACAGAATTCACTTCACCATACATCAGAAATAATGTTTAGCATTTAATTTGGATTAGAGATAAAAATATTGTTTCATTACCTTTCAGTGAAAATTAAATTAGGGACACAATTAAGTCGGGGCCTGGGGCAAGTTACACCAGCTATCACCGCCTTCTGGACGCCCTTGCTTATAACTTCAATACTAAATAACTATTATTATTCGAACTATTTTCAATTTTAGTCTTCTTAAAAATAATATTTGTGAACAGAAAGATAGATCTCGATTACAAACGAATAGAATACTATAAAAAACAGCAACGTAACGCTGAACGCAATAAAATTTGAAATTTGAATTTGGTGAAAGATGGAAAATTGATTTCAAAGAGAAATCGCCTTCGCTAAAATAAACTTTTTTATTAAACGGAGGAGAGATAAAATTTGATTTCCAACGTTGCCAAATACAGGCATGCGAAAACTTTCGAATACGTTCAAGAATACAGCTATTCGAAATCACGAAAAAGCTATTCGAAATCACTCGCAAACGAATATTTTTCATAGTTTCGAGAATACAGCCACAGAGTAGGCAAAGGAACAGGAGCAGATCTTGGGAAGCGGGTATGGGGGACACGCCCCCTTTTTTTTTAAATTGAATTCAATGTACTCAAATCAATATTGTCTCACTGATCTATCTCTACATTCCAAAGCATTATTTCCATACAGCACGCGCAGACTTAATTTCAAACACATTCATATTCTAAACTAGTGGTGCTTCAGATTGGCACGGACTTTTCCGTATTAGTTTTGAATTTCCTTTGTTCTCGGCTAGCTATTCCGACTTTCCACATACTCTTCCCAGCTACCATAATACCATAATTGTGAGCTAGTTTTTACAGAAAATGGTTGAGTTTTTTAAATATTTTATAAGACATTATTTAAAGTACATGTACACATAAATATAATAATTGGAACAAATCGTCTAATGTAAATATTAACGACGTAAGAAAAAACTCAAAAAATATTTTTTGTAATTATAATAAAGAATAGAGCAAACGGATGTGTATGTCATCTCATAGAGTGCATTTAGCACTATCCTTACCATGAATTTAAAGTATAAAATTGGGTCCCTTTTGAGAAAATCTTGTTTTTATTATTTTTAAAAATTGCACAAATTGCACGCAACATAGCGCCAAAAATACTTTTTTTTTTAATTGTACATGCTCGTCATGAAAGAACTCACTGTGGAGAACAAATTGTATTTGATGGAATAATATCTACGTCCAATTTTGTAGTTGTAGGAAGACGTCAGAATAATTTCAAAATTTTCGAAATTTCAGAGTTAAAATCGGATCTATGCCACCTTTATAAGTGTATGTTACTCTAGTTTTACAAGAAATTTGGAGAAAATTTTGGAGTCGTTTCTGAGAAAATTTGAAAATGTCCGGGTGGCTTCATGCAAAGTACCCCGAAATTTTGAAGAGCAGTTTTCTAAATCACATCTCCTCGAGTTGAACCAGATCGACCGACCAACTGACCATTTTGGAAAAACTCTTACGTGTGGTTTTGTTGCTAGTAGTGTTCACAGATGGACAGACGAACAGATAACCGGACCGATGAACATTATAAAAAAACGTCTTTTCGGTATAAGGGACCCCAAAATGTATATTTTCGTTGAAATATCAAAACCGATTTTTCGCCACATTACATTACTTTCCCTATACTACGGCTATTACTCTGTATATACTTGTGCACGGGAAAGTAAAAAGTATTGCGAGTTTGTATTGCTCTATCAATAATTCAGAAATCAATTTTTTAAAAGTTTAAGATTCACTGAACTACAGATGTGATCTTTTGACATGCCATGTTTTTGAATAGATTTTGATAATTTTTTCACGTCAAAATGTCCATCTCTGTTCCAAGTACTCTCCTTAATAGACAATAACGGCCTACAATAACACCGTTTCTTACAATTAAAAGTTCGTCTTAAGGACTTTAAGATAGACTTAGGAGGCGTTACCATTTCACCATATCCAAGACGAACTTAAACTTAGTTCGACTTACATGTAAGTACAACTCTGTATCCATTTTAAGTTGTGCTTTAACGTCTCAAAAACAATTAAAATGGCGAGCGTATTGTGGAGTGTGCTTTTGATAGTAATAACTGTGACAATCGTGAAGATAATAGCTTTGAGAAGCCTTCCTTAAGGCCGAAGTGGATCCGTGCACGGTTCTAACATACGAAAAGCTCAATGAAAGAGATTTTGACACCCGATTTTGAATTGAATTGAATTTGCCTTATTTTACGTGGCGAGACTCGGGCCATCAGGCCCGCTCTTCCGTCTGACCACGCCTGACCCGATTTCGCCTATCAAAGATGACAATACATGTTTTAGAGCTAATTGAAGACTGGAAGACCGACTGGAATATCCAAGTTTACTCCATTATCAACGAAATGAAAATATGTATATTTTGGTTCATAATTGCCTCACAAGTAACAATTTGCCTAATAGTGATTTATAGGTTATGTTTACACGGTCCCGTATCTACTGCCGAGTTTTAATTTCTGTAGTTTTTATATAATTTCCTTTTGTACTTAAATATAATCCTCTCCACAACTTTATTTAATGTGTGTTATACATCATCTTGTATCTCGTTGCTTTTAAATCGCGTTCAATGATCCTCCAGTTATCATTTTTGTCGGTTTGTTGAGTCATTTTTACCTTTATTTTCAATAATAGAAACGTGCTTTCTCATACATTCGACGAGCACTTCTTTCTCCGTCGATGAAAATTTCGCAATCCTCTCTCCTTTTCCCATTTAAGTTTAGATTTATTTAGTCAAAAAACAGTAAAAACTGTATGTGACGAAAAATCACTATTAATCAATGTGACGAAAAATCACTACGAAACATCATTACGAAAAATCACTAAAAATAACTTATTTGCACCTTAGTACAAGGCAGAACCAAACCCAGATCTCTGAAATTACAGAATCGGAAAAGACCACAAGTATGCAAGTCCGCAAACGGGCATAAGCTACATATTGAAGGTAAACAAAATATTATTGGTCATCTAGAAAACGTATTGAAATTTTTATTGGAAATAGTCCCTGTAAAGAGAAACTACTTAACATAGACCTCTCCTAATAACTTCAAATCCAGGTCAAGTGCGGGTTGAAAGTTTTACCCCGCTCCTGTGGATCTATGGGAAATAGGTATGCTGACAGGTCCAGTGCGCTTGTTAAATGCAACCTGCAAGATAACTGCCCTGTGATAACTAAAAGCACGAGAGATTTACTTTCTCGCCTTACTTTGAAACAAGAGAAAGTAATGTAATCGTGAACCGAAACCGGCGAATTTACAACAGAGAAACTCTTGGAGGGGGGGGCTATTAGACCTTCTGCGTCGGCGTCCTTATGAAAGTACCTACACATCTGATAAGCATCGGAATTTAAGAGTTGTGTTATTGATAACCGCGTACAATTAGTGTCTTCCATCAGAACTGAAGTATTAGTTCTGTATGGAATGATTTGATATATTTGATTTATTTTCACTAAAAAACATTAAAAAACCTATATGACGTATGGGGAGAAGTATAAATCTGCGCATGCTTTCATGAGCACCAGAATCCACTCTCCGCCCTACAATACATATTCGAATGATGAATAAAAGTACCAACAAAGCGAGTTTAGCAACTCCGAAAACTAGAATTTTACGCTCTCGATTTATTTGCATCGATAAATGAACTGGAATAATAAATCTCGATTTATCTTATTTGCATCGATAAATGAACAAATGCTATTGCTAACAAATTAGCAATCCACATCCCTGGCTCTAATCCTTTTACGACTAGCAAAAGGGAAGCTCAATAAAACGTGATCTAGTGAGGCTACACTTATGTCCAGAAGCAAAACAATGAGCAATATTAGTATTTGCTAAATGGATAAAGGAAACGATATCATTGACTCTGCTGAAGCTGCAGTACATTACTTGTTACAGGCAATTTTTATCTTTTTAAATAAAACACTATAATTCTCAACTGTGCGTTAAATACCATTATTAAAATTAATATTATTTTTCTCTTTGATGGTGAGTTTAGTCTCAAATTGTATAGAAAATGTTATGTAGCAGAAAAGATTTGACTTGACCCTTAAAGCTGTGTATCGTTTTTAATTGTTTCATATTATCTGGCAGTGTGTCGTAAAGAAACATTCAGGTTTTATATGTGGATTTCGTGTAGTGAGTGGTTGATACTGACATGATGAATGTGATTCCTACGACTTGCGATGTAATTATCAATATATGTATTGTTTGGAAATATGTTCCCACTCTTAAATAAAGTATTTTGAGAAAAACCAGAGATTTGTAAATAATAGGGAATGCAATGGTAAAATTTTAAGCGTAATAACGAGAGGTATACATACAATGAGCTGCAGGAAAGCTGACTTGATTTAAGAGAATTCTGAATGCGTAACATAATGAACTTAATTTAGTGCTCAATTATGCTCATAGTGCTCAATGCAATAGTGCTCATTTAGTGCTCAATATGAATATTTCATTTGAGATTTGACTGAATTGAGAGACCCATTTTTTTATTTTTACTTTAACTTCAGACAATTGTATATTGTTCATTTTCAAGGTGCATGCGATTGCCGTTTGATATGCAAAACTCCATTGAGATCGTTTTTCCTTCGTCCAGCATCAACAATTAATTTACTACGAAACCAATTTGTAACGTCTGAAATCGTACTACTTGTTCACTTTTTCCAAAAAATGTTTGTGTCATTAGCAATCGCAAATGTTTTTTCTGTTTCTAATGGTTGAATACATATTGTTTATGTGTAAAAGAAAAAGGAGATTTAATGTAGGTTATTCCTCTTGATACGTTGATGAAGCAACGGATTTAAGGGATGAAAAATTAGTCTCGGGTGATTTGGATTTTTTAAGTACATTTGAGTGTTTGGACATGCTTCATTTTTCCTGGAAAAGAATTTCCATTCGTATATAGGAAATGGTCACACATTTGAGAAAACTGACTAAGAAACTGACCGATAATTTTGAATTTCATTTTTGTTGCTTTTTTTGAAAGGAGGCTTAATTTTCGCCTTTTCTAAAATATCTGGCAATATTCTGATGCATAAAATATTCAGTGAAAATATGAGTTAATTGGTGCATAATGGCAGGCGCACAAGTTCGAGAACTGTTCGAAAATTTATCTGAAGCAGCACAATATTTTTTAGTTAAGAGAATTCGATTCTATTGAACGATGCCTTATTTTACGCGGCGATGTTGAGGCCGTCTGGCCTGCTCTTCAGACTGACCACGCAAATTTAGCTACAGTCTTTTTGCCGTCTAGCAGTGAAAGAAACAAGGTATCACCCAGACAACGAAGCAGGGGAATAGACTTTATCACAGAGGTTTCTTTTACACTTGAGGAAATGTTACATGTAGTAAATCTACCAGATGGGACAGCGAGCTTTATTTCCCCTCCGAAGGAGGGGCTACGAAGGATGTTTTCGCCCCTAAAATCCACGCCTTTAATAGAATTTGAAACCTGGGTATAACAATCCAATATGCTAACGGTTATATCACTGTAGTCGCACATTTACTGAGTATTCTGATGATATCACTGGAAGAAATTGTCAATTTTTTATGATATCACACACTGCTTTTGTTTTGCTGTTAACGTTCACATTATACAGACAGTTTCTCATTATTCTTGCTATTACTTTTCTTAAAATGTTTTTGTATTTTGGGAAATAGGCATAGAAATCAAGTGATGATTAGAAATAAAGTAAAGGGTACGTTTGTTTTTATACGATGTTTCCAAATAAAGTAGAGAGTTTGTGGGTATTATCTAGGCTAACATGATCTATATTATTTATTTCAATATAATTTATTACATAAAGCCCCGCAGCGAACAAGTACATGTAAAGGTTCCTATACACATACAAATTAAATTTTAATGTTTGAAGAAGTGTATGAGGCCCATCCAGAAAGTAATTTTACTTAGGTCGTCAACAAAAATAAAATACCTTTTTACGGAAAAACTTTGTTAAAGTAGATAAAGCACATCTTGCATTATTGTTCCACATATCATCACAAGAACTGAGACATTTGTCACACCGTGGGATCAACATTTGTTTTATTGCTACGTCCAGGAGCGATCCATGAACCGATGGATGTATTAGAAGCTCTGCTCAATTTTTTCAATCGTCCTTTGCTCTATCCGAGGAGAAAAAATGAAGAAAAAAAATCGGAGCCGTTTTTGACATTCTTTAAATAAATTGCCTTTACTTCAAGCAAACATTACGCGAAAATTACTCGTTTTTTCTTTGTTATGAGCTTATTTTGAGATTTGTTATGAGCTTTCTTTGTTAATGAGCTTAATTTGTAGAACAGATTTCATGATGGAAAAATCTCTATCACCAATATTGTGCTTTTGTAATGTTATTTTTTTTGCAATTTTCGAAAATGCAGAAATTATCGACAAAGGGATCTTTGCCAACGGTATAAACGTACTTTTTTCTATTCGAGAAAAAATGTATACAAAAAACTTGGAACCTTTTAAAGAAAATAATTCCTTAAAAATTATCTTTATTTCACCCACAATTATGAGAAAATGACTTTTTCAATGGCTTATTTATGACCTTATTTACAAATCTATCTTTGAAGGAAAGATTTCAATGAGAGAGAGAAAAATATATTAAAAACGGAAGTTGTAGGATGACGTCAATAAAATCTTGAAGTGTTGCAATTTTCGATTTCATAGAGTTCAACGAAAATGAGACCTAAGGCCTGTCTTTAAGTGTTCTCTGCTCTATCTGAAGAAAAAAAAAATTGGATTCATGTGTGAGAAAAATGTTGAATATATTGTTACAGTTTCAAGTAAAGCTCCCTCCCACTCCAATTATAAGATTTATCTATTTTTCGATATCAGGGCTCCAGAACGTGTGTTTTTGTGACGGAAAATCACCGTTTTTGTCCCATTATTTATTTTATCTAAATTACGTAAATACTATGCGAAATACTAATAAATGATTAAGCTCATAAGCTTCAATCCGGGGATTGTTTTGTAATTTAAGAAATTGTCGCGTTTTCTTTAGTCTTACAAAAACGAGAGAAGAAAACCCTTCGACAAAGAAGAGGGGCTAAAATAATGTCATTCCTTTCCGGAACATTTAACATATTTCAAGAAAACCGCCTTTGCTCAACAAAATTTACCGTCGTGCACCGAAGTGCACCGTGGTTTTTGGAATAAATTTGGTAGCATTGCCTCCCGTGGTACACGAGCAGAAGCGCGCGTATTTGCCGCTAAAATTGCATTTCTCTGAAGTGTTTAGCGGTTTTTAGCAAAGTGTTACAAAGGTTGACAGTGCTTTTCGTTCTTTTGACTTGATTCATTGCATTACTCGTTCACCATACTAAACGTCTGTTTAAGAATAAGGTAAGAATGATACGTCATGAGTTGTATTGTTTTGATGAATACGTTGTTACCTAACCATGAATGATGATAATATTAATAATAATTATTATTGGTCAACTGAATTAATTTAATGCCCACCATTTCAGTTCCTAAACTACATGAAAAAAGTTAAAGATCTTGCATCTCGTATGCGTTCACAGAAAAACAACTAAGAATGAGTACTTGTCTTATTTAAAAAGGAAATATTGTATCAGTGATGTTTTATTGACATTTTTGTCATTTGAATCAGAATGTAATATTTATAAAGTGTACTAAATCCCAAAGAAGTTCTGAAGTTCTACATTGGGAACCTTTGAGCACTGATATGGAACAGACCTTTTTTATGTTAAAATAACTGGTTGCAGAGATTAATTCTTTTATGAATTAAAGGTGTTTTATTCTTTCAAATCAATGTTAATTTTATTTCAGATATACCCTATTTAGTCGTAACATGAGCATCGCAGGGCAAGTGAAGAAAAGAAAGAGAATATCTAAAGAAGAGAGTGATGGTATGTGAAAGTTGGGTAAAATTAATAAAAGAATGGATCAAGGGAGGTATTTGTAAGAGGAGTTATTGGAAAAGAGTTTCAAATCTATAATTGTGGAGGCAGTGCAAGTTTCAGCTTTTATAATTTTATTGTTATTTATTGGATTAACTAATATTTAAATATCATTAACCGCTTTAAAATTAGAACCTATTAAATGATTAGAAAATGTGATTAGTGAAAAAATTCTTTGTCTTTGGGAAGGAATTTTTTCTAATTTACTTCCAAACTGGATTTATCTTTAATAATGTAACAGTAGCATTTATAGAGGAAACAGTGAAACCTCAACAGCACACTTATTGAGATCAATATCCTTGTTAATATCAGTGAAAAAATTCAAATTGATTTTACAGTTTTAATAACTAATACATGAAGTGACTGTCAAAATGAAAAATCATTTGTATCGGAATAAAATTGTATTTTGAATTCTTCAGAAATAAACTATTTAAATTTTGATTATCACGTTGTTGGATATTTAAAGTACTTGAAATAACGATGTAAAACTCCTCTCACTTTGTGATGTGAGAATTTGTTTTTAGACACATCTGTAATATTTACCTCCTGTGTGTACTTTTAGGATCTTCTACTGAGAAGATCAGTCACCTCCTGCATTCATATTTGGAATGTGAAGCAGTTGAATTTCGCAAGAACCTCCTTGAATGGTTTACAAAAAATAAACGAGATCTTCCTTGGAGGCAGCGAGCTGTTCAGGGCAGCCTGGAAGAAAGAGTTTATTCTGGTATATTTTTTATATTATTAAGAATTTAGTGTGAAGGTTGCTGGTATTGTTTATTATTTTGTATTTTTAGTGTTGGTATCTGAAGTAATGCTACAGCAAACACAAGTAAATACTGTCATAGCTTATTATCAAAAGTGGATGGCGCAATGGCCAACTTTTGGAGATTTAGCCGGAGCAACTCCTGAACAAGTTAACGAAATGTGGTCAGGACTTGGTTATTATGCCAGAGGAAAAAGACTTCAAGAAGCGGCCAAAGAGGTTTGTTACTTAAGAGAAATACCATTATTAAATCTCAGTGATGTAGTTAAGTGTCCTTGGAATGTTTAATATGTTTATCAAGGAAACTATCATGTTAACTGTACAATTAACAGTGTGTCACTGTGCTTGATACATGAATTCATGCAACCGTTTGAGCAGGCATTGATTAATAGAGATGTCTAATGTTCTCCCTTCAAAGATAATACCATTGTTGCTGCAATTGGTGCTTCAGATCTCGTATTGTTAATGTTGACCATAACAACCATCAGATCACAAACATGTTCTTGGGTAACAGGTTTGGGGGTCTTGCCGTCCAAGAAAGTTGTTTAGAATACCTTGACAATACCCCCGGGTCAACAATGTGGTGGGGAAAACTAATTTTTGTAACTGGACCAGAGGTAAAAAAAATGTGGGGGAGATGCTTAAAATCAAAAAATTAATGACCTGACTACACATAAGGACTATGATGTTTGATTTTATTTATTTAAGACAAAATGAATTAGCCATACATAGGGGAAAATTGGCCACAAAAACACCCACAATTTCCTACAATTTTTACTTTCTCATATACTGAGTTACGTTGTTACTTAGTATAGAGAAAGTTACGTATTGCTGCAAAAGATCAGTTACATTTGTACTTTCTATTATACCGCTGTCTGAAGTATTCAATATGGGGATTGTTCCCTGTTACTACAGAGAATTTTCTAAAATACTGCAGGAATAAGTACCATTTTTTTGACAGAAACATGTATTCTGAGAGTTTCTCATCCAAAAAGATAATTTTTCTTCCATGTTTATTACACATGTATTGGAATATTTAGACGTATTTCAAAAGCATTAGTCATTGTCCTCAAAATTTTGTTTCCAAAATTACCATCATATGGAATTCGGCATATTGATGTATATTGGATACCTTGGTATCTTAAACATTGATCGCATAGTATGTCAATACAATACTGTCATGAAAGAACATTATTTACTTGTTCATTTTCTTTGCCAGTTGAGCATGGGGTCCCACAGAGTACGACCTCTTTTCAAAATCTACATTTCAAATGGCTACCACGCTTGTAATTTTATTCATCATTCAACTATATAGTAAAATCATGGAATCAATGTTCTGAAGCTGGAGAAACCATGCAGACATTATACTCCCTTCCTTGTACAGTACATAAAGATTTTAATTTCTCCCTCACTGTATACTTGTGTAGTGTAGAAATGGACTGTCATGCTGAAGCGGTGATTTTTTGACAGAAAAATGCATATTGTTGGGGCATACTGCCAGCCGGCCAACTAGTGCCTGCCAGCCAGCCAGCCCGCCCGTCCATCCATCCGCCAGTCCGTCCATCCATCTCCCAGTCCATACTTTGTGTACTCGAGAAGGCATAAGAAGTCAAAGATCATGAAAACAGAAAAATGTCAAAGCTAAAAAGATACTTCTGCGTGTTATGGTTGCTTAAGATCTGCATGTACTGCAAGACTTCAAAATGTGAAGGAATACTTCATGTCCCTTTTTATCTTTGTTACATACATCTTTATTATGACTTTCTTTTACATGCAAATTATGATTTCTTGTAACTGTGTTGATAACAGATGAGCAAGAAAACTATTGGTATTCCATGTTCAGCTGCAGAACTGCAGAAGTCGCTTCCTGGCGTGGGACGTTACACTGCATCAGCTGTTGCATCCATTGTTTTTGGTGAGAAAGTTGCTGCAGTGGATGGTAATGTGATTAGAGTGCTTTCTCGCCATCGAGTTATTGGAGCAGATTCATCTACAAATGTAAGGAATTTCTTTAATTTCCATTTTTTTAGATTAATTGATTAATATTAATTATCTTTAAATACATTGAACAGGCAGATATAGTGGTAATGGTTGCATGATTTTATTTGCTTCTCTGCAGGCTTTGTGGATGATCTAAATTAAGAATCTTCAATTTTATATGGAAGTGGAAAGGAAAAGAGTTAAATTATTTTTTTGTTCAATTCATGTGAGTTAATTATCAAATATCAGAAGTGCAAAGTTTCATTTATATGTCACATGCCAATCTGTATGATTTCATTGAAATAGATCATCAGTTGACTGTGGAAAAAAATCATTAGGGACTTATTAGCCACAGAGGGAGGGAAAGTATTTTGAAAAAAGATCTTTGTCTCTGCATTAAATTGTTGCAATAAAACTCTAAAAATTAAGGGGGTTTATATTTTATCTACCCTTGTTAAGTCACATGAGAATAAGTAAATTTATAAATAAACAATTTCATTTTATATTAGGATTATTTTTATTTCATAATAAAATTTTATCTATGATCAGGAGTTGTGTTGTTTGCTTTTAGAATACTGTCAATGAAATATGGAAAATAGCAGATGATCTAATTGATCCACAAGAACCTGGAAAATTCAACGAAGCTATGATGGAACTTGGAGCAGTAGTTTGTACTCCAAAAGCTCCAAAATGTAGTGAATGCCCTGTAAGAAGTTCATGTTTGGCTTATAAGTCAACAAAAGTTCGGGAGAAGGCACAACTGTCATTAAAATGCAATCCAGATGTCCCTGATATTGAATCTGGTTAGTTTTGTTTGTAACTAAGGAATTAAGTTGTTCATTAATTGAAGGAGTGAAGATAATACAGTGCTAACACACACATCTGTCACCCAGAGGAAAAACAGTTATTTTGAAATCCCAACACATGTCAGTTTGTGTATAAACTTCCTGCACCTATCTCCCTCATACGTAATGTGTCCATTGAACACATGTACAGAGTTTTCATCATAATGTGATTAGGTTTTTTGTCCAATTTTAATGCTGAGGTGGCCCCTTGTCTGGTCTTCTGATCATAAATGTATCTTCACTGTGCACATGAGTTTTTGAGCTCTCCTTTTGCTAGTTGTAAGAAAAGAGCCAAGGGGATGTGTTGCTATTTTGCTACAGTACTATAAAATCAAATCTGTTTCTTGGGAGTGAAAATTTTCAGTTTTCAAATGTTGGTAGCATCACTTTGTTGGTACTTTTATTCATAAGCTAATTCATTGAGGTACATTTAGTAAAAGGATGGGTAAGGATCGGGGGAATTCTAGAGAACATCCACATTCTCTCAATGTTCGTTTCTTTCTTTTCTTCTTTCTTTTTTTCCTATTTCTTTGAAAGAAATTCTAAAATCTTTATTTCAATTATGTCAAATGTGGGTTAACACAAACATCTTAACTCCCTCGAATTGTTTATTATAGAATTTTTCACACTATGATAACATCTGTCTTGAAATTGCTTTTCATGTAGTTCCTGGTTGCAGTCTTTGCTTGCCTGTAGAAGAACAATTGGATATATCGTAAGTTTTAATTGCACTTACTCAGAAAAAATAATTTTTCTTGTTGTTAAAATAGTAGTTGTGGATATAATATAGAGCATACATGTTATTACAACAATTCCATATGTTGTTGTTTCCTCTATGTTTACATAACCTTGTTGCATGTTTGCACCCACTGACACTGTCAATACCTTTGTTCTCAATTGTCGTAAAGTACAGGATATGGATAAGAACTCTTTTCAACTCCTAAATAATTAAAAAATGTTTGATGTACAAGTTAGTAAATATGCTAGTTGAAATTTGTTTCAACATGCAAATTACTATACATAGATGTTTGTGCCTGCGACCAGGAAGTCCTAGGGTTCTTGTCCCAACAGTGGCAGAATTTTTAACATGAGCCAGGTGAGACCAGGTTGGTCAAGTTAAGCTGCTGTCTGGAGGAGAATTCTAGCAGCTGGTTGCAATAATCAGTAGTTTTCTGTGGATTGTCTGCTCAACATGAGGTGAATACATGAGAAGTATCCTAATAAATGGGCCACAGACTATGCTTGATCTTTCTTGTCCTATCCTCTCCCTTTACACACACTGTCAAATAAAATTCACTATCACACTTATTGGAAGCTTAGAGATTGTCATGACTGAGTTGGTGCCAGTTGGTGAGAGATACCTGCTTGGGGAAGTCTCTGCAAGCTGACGTAAGCTGGCCCTGGATCTTGCCAGCCAGGGGGGGATGATCACTGCCACCTCACACAATGAACTCTCTTATGAGACTAATGACCTTAGGAGTTGACACATTAAGAATCGCTAATCAGTCAATCAATGATACATGGCAATGAGGAAGTCTAAGTTTCTTCCAGCTCTCAACGAGGAAAGACAGAAATGTTCCTAACGACTTATGTGCATATTTTGTTTCTCTAAAACTGCTGTTATATATTTACATACTTTATTTTTTCCTCTCTTTTTTTAGGTAAAGGATTAGTTTAATCTTTCAGGACTTATTATTAAAACTACTGTAAATCTGTAATGATATTTTCATGTTTCAATGCTTATTCTATGTTTACAAAAAAATGCAAAACTGTTGACATGGATAACTGCTTCTAGAAAGCTTTAGCAATCCCCTACAGTGAGGTCTACCCGTAATCACGTTAACATCTTATTTTAGTTTCTTTTGATATAGAGAACAGTTATCTCATGGGAGCAGTAAAAGGAATGTTGATCTTGATTCAAAAAAAGAATATCACCATCTGTGTCCTTACAGAAGTGACAGGAAATACAAAAAATGTTAAAAATAAATTTGCCCTTGTAATTATTCCTTCAAACACTGAAAATATTTTATCACAAATGCTGAAAATATTGTAGTATATTTGTAAATACATATGTTATTAGTTCCAACAAACAAACAAACAAACAAACAAAAAAAACAAAGTTTTTCTTCAGCTATATTGACATTTGTTCTGGGGTCCACTGTTCACCTCCCTTGACATTGTACATTGGTAATGAAATGGCTTTGGTAAGTGGTTTTTTATGACAAGAAAACTCAACCCTAAACAACACAGAGCAGGCTGAATATGTTACAGACATTGGGTCAATATAAAGACTAACAGTGCTGCTAGATGAAATAAATAGAAAAACTATATTAATATAATTGTACTCGAGTTACAATTTTTTCATATAGAGTAACGTTTTCTTCGGGGGTATAATTCAATAATGAAAAGTTGTATATCCATTGATAACTCTGAGGAAAAAGCATTGAGGTTTATTTATGTGCAAGAAAAAACAATTTCTAGATTACATGAATAAGTTACCATAGCAAAACTAGCTGACTGATGGAAGAAGATTAACAAAACTGTTCTTGGTGTAAGAAGATGTAAAATTGATGTATACTCAAGTGTTACATTATCATAGGTAATACCACGAGTGCTTTAGAAATTGTTAATAAATCCCTGACTTGCAAAGTGAGGAGGGGATTTATCTGTGAAATTCCAAAGCACTAAAGGTATTTAATGTGACTATTTCATGAGTGAAATTATGTCCAACAGAGTACCAAAATGCGCCAAGTACTGAAAATGTTAAAATCAAATAGGTTACATTGTAATGCATAGGCGGTTTATTGGATATCGACATAGCGATCTGTGTATACCGCCTTCTAAGATGGAAGAGTCGCAGTTTAAGATTGGCCAGAAGGGAGAACCGGTAAGAGAGATTCTGAGATACACCACTGTGAATGGGGTATATTGAATGTATAGTTAAACACTATTGGTTTTAATTTCATGAGTGGAATAGTCAACTTAATGGGTTTTTGTGTCGGGTGCCTATAATTGGAAATTTGCATTTGAGTTTTCAGATACAAGCTCATTATTTTCAAAGATTGTTCAAGTTCATGTTATAAAAATTGAATTTTAATATTTGTAGAATCTGTTGATGGCCAATGATATTATATTTCTACTAAGAATATTAATTATTTAATTTATTAGTTTTATTATTATAGAATTAATAGTGTAGGCTTTATTGTGTAAAAGTATGAGGTGTAATTTTGTACTGTACAAAATTCAAGTTCTATTAACATTTTTTCCCTTAGTTTAGGTGTTCTGAATTACCCTAGAAAGGGAAAGAAGGCTCCTCCAAGGAAACAAGTGTCTGTTGTGTGGATTCTTCAGAAATGTATCTCTGACAATGATGTTGAGTACTTCATGGTTAAAAGGCCAGACAAAGGTGAGAAATTGGGGTTTTGATCAAGAAGATGCGTAGACAAATTGATTTTTTTTAAAATAATATTTCAATAGTCAAACAGTTCTTCTTTTACTAATAGTTAATTTTTTTCTGCATTATGTCCTTGAACTTACACTTTCAGGGGTAACTATAAACTGTATATGAAATTAATGAAAATTTAATTTTTAGGTCTTTTGGGTAATCTATGGGAGTTTCCATGTCATGTAGTACCACCAGAAAGATTGACATCAAAGGAAGTCTATGCTGATGAGATTTTAAAAGAGCAACATGGGATTGATGTATTTGAAGTACAATCAACTAAGCTTCTTGGAAGTGTTCTTCATGAATTCTCTCACATCCATCAAACTTATGTAGTGTTTCATGGGAAAGTAGAAGAAATAAAATCCCTTTTGACTTCTGAACAGTATCAAGCTCAACAGTGGATTAGCAAAACTCAATTTGAAACTGCTGCAGTATCAACAGCTATGAGAAAAGTATGATATGTGCTTGAATCGTGAACTTCACTACATGAAATATGGTTTTGTTATAAATCAGTTTTATTTTAAACCAGCATAAGGATTGATTAAATTTCTTTTCTTGTTATTTTGCATGTGTTCCATTGTGTTCATAACAAAATTATTATTATTACCATCTCAAACAAATTGTATAATCGAGGGTTTGGCAGGAGGAAGGACGTTATTCAGAAAACAATTTTTGAGATTATCAAGAAAAACTGTGTACAAGCAGTATTTCTCACATAAAATAAAAAATACATATATATCACATGAAAAATCATACTAGTATCTGATTAAGCACAAAATGCACTAAAATACTCAAATGTGGATTTACTTTCATTTGAAAATGATGAATTGTGCCCTTATTCCATGGAAGAAATGGATTTTGATATAAATAGATTCCTCCTATGAGAGTTTGCCCGTTTTTATTAATTTTAAAATAACAGAATAATTTTCATTTTCATTAAGATTCATTCATTCTTGTTTTCTGATTTTCAGAAAAGTTATTCTTTTTTGTCCTTTATTTTTACCTTTAACACTACATAAATAAGTATCTGAAGATGAATCACTATCATCTGGAGGCTTAAACTCGCTATCATCTAATGAAAAATCGATATATCAGACAAATTCATATATTCTGTTTTTACAGCCATTCTGTCAATGTTCTAAACTCAGAAAAACGAAATGATGCAAGATTGCAGAGGTAACGATGTTATGAAAAAAGGGCACAATTCAGGATTTCAAAAGCCTCTTAAACACCCTCTATTGGGGTTAGCAAAGTACTATCTGGAGGTGTGGTAGAAAGTCACCTAAAGAACATTTTGAAATATTTTACAGATAAACGCCTTAATTAGAGTTATGCCCTTCTTCCAATCACCTCCTCAATTGATCGTGAAAAACTTATTACAAAATATGTATTGTATAATGTTTTGCATATTCTTGATTTCTCTTAAATGTTTCTTTGCAGGTATTTGCTTTGCTCGACTCTCCATGTAAAGAGTCAAATAAGGTAATGTTTGGTTTATCATTAACTATTTGCTAATTATAAAGCTATTGAAATTTATTACGATAATTTTAAAATTGAGAACACTCAAAGTTGTATCAATGCAAAATATCTTGTATTCTTAAGGGTAGTATATTGCAGTACTATGTATTCCACAGTTGTACAGTAGGTTAAATTATATAAAAATTGTCCTCAGGTTTTCAAATGTGTTCTTGTCGTCAGGATCTCCATTTTGACTTGTTTTGTGAGTTGTGGCTTTACGTTGCAAATGATGCTCGATAAACCATCTCTACTATACAGTGCAGTTTGGAGTTGTATTGACCCGTCTTTGATGCTTGTCGGTTGTTCCATATGACCATCATTGTGTAAGGTTGTTGCTGTTGCTGAAAGCAAAATTAAAAAATCATTATTTCTTAGAGTGATCTATTTGTTTGCTAAAGTTCTAAGAAAACTACACTATGCCATACTTTTAAAAATTTACAAACTTAAACAATTATAGTAAAAAATATTTCATTTTTCACAATGTTTTCTTTACATCCTTATCAACTCTACCCACATCATATGGCAGTGACTTTTGTTATGCGTTATTTATATTATAAATAATCACACTGCAAAATTTCAAATGAATAGGCTTGGTAATTGTTATTATAAATAATTAAGTGTAAATTAACATCATGGTATTTTATTGTTGAATTATGATAGTGGTTTGCGAGAATTTTTTTTCTTATAGAGTGGAAACAAAATAAGAATTTCGAATAATTTTTGAAGTTGGTTGGAACTCAATATATCTCTCTATTTACTTCCTAGTTTCACATTTGTGGAGGTCACAACTGCATGTAATGCCATGCACCTACACTTATCGCATTCCAAGGAAGTCATTTGTAACATAAATAGATAATTAATTAGATGTCTGGTGATGTAGATAAATTATTATCATAATAAAAAGGTATCGTAATAAATAGATAATTTGTGTCTGAGGTATGCATCCTTTATGTATTTAATATTTCACTGGGCACTGAATCTGTGCAAATTCATCTCAAATAAAAGTGTTAATAATTGAAATTGTGCTCTAATGATCACCTGGGATACATTTCCCCAAATTCGGCTAATTTGGTCTTCCATCGCAAATTTTTTGCGGAGGAAGGTGCCTCACTATTGATTAGCAATAGTGATTTATACATATTTGCCTAATATTTGAAGAGTGGTTTTAACGCTACATTTATTCTTTAGATTGCAGAAAAAATTTATTCAAATTATGATAAAATGCCATCCACGGGATTCCTGCATTCATTGAACTTGGAATGGTACCAATGTCATGCCTATTTATTTACAAATTTGTAGTTTTTGTCAAATCTGATGTACAGTGAGTCAAAATTATTCGTACACCAGTGCATTTTAACAATTATTGTAATTATTATGCAATAATTAACTACATTCAATAAATATTTCCATCATTATATTAATCTAAGTGTACAGAAAAGTTATTACCAAAAAGAGCAGGAAAACACATGTACAAAGCAGATAGAACTGTTGAAACTGTTGAAATGTGAAATATCGGGATGCAGAAAGTATTCGTACAGCAAGGACAACGGTTTTAACTCCCCTACGCCTGCCCCATGATAAATTTGTGATGCTAGAAACGGTATCCAGCAGAGGCCTTGCATAGTGTTTGATAGATACTCAATAGGTGTCTTGTGTGTTGTACGAAAAGGAGAAATGGGTTGTAAATTATCATCAGGCTGCATAATCAATGCAAATCATTTCTGAGATTTTAATCAGACCAAGGAATACCATTCTGGGAGTTATTGATAGGTTTAGTGTAAGGAAAACATTGAAAAAAGTGAGAAAACTTGGACGTCCAAAGAAACTTGGTGGAGCAGATGGTCGTGCAATTCTACGCAAAGTGATCTGATCCATGATTAAATGTCCATGTAAATTAAAATCCATGATTAAAAGCACTAAAAATACCAAGTGAACATGAAAAAAATTGCAGAAACATGTATATGAGACTACTGAGCGAAATTTTTTGAGGCTAACATGAATTAGTAGCTAGAAGAAAATATTATGTGAATGGAGTCAATAAAAGGAAAAGGCTTGAGGTCGCAAAAAAAAAAAATACATTTTTCCAAAACTCACTCGTTTATATATACCTCTGCTGCAATAACTCAGAAGTTTTAATTAGACCACAGGCATCATGAAAGGTATAGACGTGTTTATAGGGAAAAAGCACAAGTGGTACATATTAATACTAATGTACCGAAAAATACTTGTAGATCGCAGCACTGCCATAGAGCAATGCACATTACCTATGACTTAGAAAAAATTGGTCCAATTTTTAATCAGAAAACGCATTTTATTCGTAATTCTTCAATTTACGCCCTTTTTTCCCTAAAAAAGAAAGAAAAAAATTGAAATTGCTTTCATAGTTATAAAGAAAGTTATGTAATGCTGCGGAAAATCGATTTCGAGAGTTCAACGGAAATTGTTTTGGGATCCCCTGATACCGACAAAGTTTTTTTTGTTGTTTTTTTCTTCCTTCCCAAAACGTTCGTCTGCCCATCTGTGAACAACATTAGAGTCTAAACTATTCCTAGCCTTTATCGAAAATGAATATTCCTCGGTCGATCTGGCCTGTCTCAAAGCTTTGCGATTTTGAAAAAGATTCTTTAAAATTTGGGCAGGAATATCGTGGATTTTGATATAGATGCTACTCGGTACATTAGAGGTTAATAATACTGTACCCGCGTATCAAGCGGCTGGTTCTGCTAGAGAACTTATCGTGACATCCAGCAATGATGAGCAGAAACCAGATGAAGAACAAAAGAAGAGTGTAAGGGACTTGAACATTTTCGCCGTAAATAAAAATTTCATTGAAGTCTATGAACAATTGTGTAGTGAAATAATATTTGTAGGCAACTGCCTTTCAGCGCAATACAAAATAGTTGAGCCAGACGCGTGGAGCTGTAATGGCAAAACACTTTTGCATGAAGTATTGTATTGTGATGGATTTATGCATTTTTAAAGCACTAAATTATCATAAAAGCAATAAAATAGTAATATAGAGCCGTGCATTGAAATTCATTTCTGTATGTCGCAAAGAATCGCTTTCTAGCAGCAAAAGTGTTCGAAGGCCTGCATCTGAGGAACAAAATTGGAATTCGTCTTAAGTTTCGTTATATTATATATATATATATATGGTGCCTGTCGCGCTTTATTCCGTGATACAGGGGCGATCCTCAGCGATGTATTGTGGGTAGGGATACGACATTGATGACGATATTTTAAAAACAGATTTTGTAGGAACATGAGTAGTCAGGGCTGGATTTACGCGTAGGTACAAGAGGCACGGTGTTTATAGTTCTTGTCCATCGTTGCCTTTGGTTTCCTCCTAGTCCGAATCTACATGTAGACTGGAGGTATTAAAATATTTTTTTGAACGTGGGAATGAATTTGTTGGCGTCCGCTTCAGTCAAGCAACGGCTGTTAGAATCCTTCCTTAGCACCTGCAAGATCCAACCCTTCGCGGTGGCTGGACGCGCTGAGAAATCGTATGGTGTGAAAGGAATGACATAAAGGGCTTCCTTCGTACATACATAATATGTACGACGTATTGGAGAAAAAAAACGAATGTAAAAAGTATATAATCGTTCTTTATAATTCACGAAATGTATCTTCACTCCGAAATCTTATTCTTCTTCAATTATAATTATTGTGAAACTTCGTCTTTTAATCTGAGGCTAAAAATCTTGATTTATTCTGCGCGTCTGAGTCAATCTGTCCATTCTCAAGCCATGGTGTAGGTTGTTATCCCGTGGTACTTCTATGCGATGGGCAGTCGCCCCATCGCCGCCACCCGCCGCAAAGAGTGGGGGCAAAAAGTACACGGGAAGGAGGTGCGGGAATTCAGATTCCGATGGGCCACTGAGACTGCTATTCGCAAATAGACAACTCTGTGAATGCCCAGTGTCGTAGCTAGGGGCTGGTCAGGTGGGCGGCTGCCAGGTGCGCAATTTACAAACATCAGCCGCAGGCCGCTGGGGCTCAGGCACACAAAATTAGAATTTTATCATTCAATTTTTTAAATTTTTTTATCAAAATGTTTGAAGATACACTAATATTTAATAACATTGAAACTATTACAATTTATAATTTGTAAGTTTTAATTAAACTTGGGACAAAAGTCGGTAGTAAGGTAAATTTCAATAAAATGTATATTTACATCTGTAAGATATTCCCATAATTGTGATGGTCTGTTATAATATATTACTGTAGCAATGGCAACACCGCGATCGAGCAAGCTGACAGGAATAAAATCCACATCAAATACTTTCATTTTTATATCTCGAAAACTTATTTTTCATAAAAAATAGTTCAAAACTCTGCGTTTTTAGAAACCCTCAAATGCAGTTTTCTCAAAAAGGGCTCCAAATTTTTTCTTCAAACATTTCGAACGGATAATGTTAATTGTACTCTTTAATATGGCTTGAAGTTAATTTTGGTGTATTTTTTTGTTTTTTCAAATATTACACAAATGTAAAGTTTTTGAAAGATCTCTCACACACATTTCCAGCAATTTGTAAACACTTATGTATGTGTGAGTTAAAGTACTTCAAATTAAGTTTTTCGAAAACTCAAAAATTTTATGTGAAAAAGAGCTTTAAATTTCTAATTTACAGTAATGCTTCAATGCCAGTTTTTTTAAAACGCTCCAAATTTTTCAAAGAAAATTGCCATTTAGGACGAGGTTTTACTGTTCTTTAATAATCTTAAAATAATATTTCTGCCTTACAATTAGGAAACAATTAAGAAAATGTCAAAAAAATGTACTTGGTGTGACGTAAATGGCAGCAGTAAAGAATATGTGGCAAGTTAGAATAGCTAACCGAGACCAAAGGAAATAGAAAACTAATACAGGAAAGTCTGTGCCATTCTGTAGCACCACTAGTTTTATATTAAAAAATAACAATTTAAACCAAAGGTCATTGACTGTCAGTTTCATAATATGATTCAGTGCCTGAATTTGTCCTCCCCAAGTTTTGAATCCACCGTCTGCCACTGATAAAAGGCAAAAACATAAAGAGGGTATTGTGTACTGCTCACACTGCTATCTCTCACCTGAACACAAGGTAGACATTAGCATGAATAAGTTCATTGGTGACCATACATCATTGTGTCTTCCACAAAAGATTTTCAACTTTCATAGATGAGCTTGGTTATTTCTAGTTGTGTATATCTGCGCATGGAAACTCCTTTTTGCGCAGGCATGTCAAAGATGCTTCACCGGATGGTGAAATGTGTTAGTTTGGACTTCTGACTTTTTCTTACTTGGGGGATAAATTACTATGGAAGCAATCTTATGTTTCTATTGGCAAGAAACCCGTATATTCTAGACTATAATTTCCATAATTTATACATTGGGAATTGGGACAGCCAATATTGTCTCTTGCAAGCTGGTTTCTATCATGTTTTGTTTTCTTATTGTAATTTTCTTTTTCAGATCTTGGGGAAGAAGAAGATTGAAAGAAAGAAAATTAAAAATAATTCAATGATTACTTCATTCTTTAAACCTAAAAATACTGAAAAATGATAATTTGTTAAAATGATAATATCCATATGTGTATTTGTTGTCTTATTTTATAACTGTGATTGTTTAAATCTAAACTTGTAACCATTTTATAATATATTATGAGAAAACTTTATGATTGTTTGAAACATTGCATCATATCAATTTTCAGAATTATAGAAGTAAAGAAATGTATTTACCCAACCCTCTGGAAAATATGATGAACTTCAACAGTGTATTATCAAACACTTCATTCTCCCAAATAGTTGCGAAGAAACTGAGTTAGTGATATGTAGGTCGTGTCTACGGATGGTTGGCACATTGGCGCCTGGTGCAGGAATCCACTTGCATTTAATTAATGCACAATATTGCTGTATCTGAGAACATTGCACATATTAAGCCCGCAATAAAAAATTTAAATCCAAATATACAATGAACAAGTCGCAAAAGAAGACATTTTCGGGTGTCCTTGAACGCATGGTGACGGATGAAGCGAAGATAGAAGCAGAGTCGGGCATTTTGAAACGACACCAAAGGCTTTAGTACGAGTTGCGTACATTCTTTTTTTAGTGCTTATTAATAAAAACACGAGTGTATATTACTGCGGCGACTGGTACCACCAAGAATCTAGGGGGGGGGCGGCTTTATCTTACGAGCGTTGCGTTGCGAAAACAATGGGAGCGCAATGTTGATGCATGGGAACGCGCGACCAAAGAGTAAATACAATAAAAGAGCCTAAGAGTGTAACTGCTCATTGCTGCAACTGCCTGGGAGCGCACGAGAAGTATTTTTAATGTTGTCATTCTAAAATTATCAAAAATTTGTTTTTCATTTTCAGACAAAGTATTAATTTTCTGTTTATACCTGATGCTTATAAATATTGCGCGAAGCGTGTTCCGGTATTATATAGACAATAAAGAAATTTTTGAAAACTTATTTATTGATTGACAAAATGGATACTCGTGTGCTAAATTATTAGTGAATTAATTTAGTTTTTACAGCGTTGTGAGGGGGAGTGGACTGTACATTGCATTTCCTATGACAGGTTTTTTTTAACGTCTTTGGAGTCGTCTACTTGAGTTTCTCGTTCAACAGCTGCGCTGTGAGCCCAGATTTTCCGTACGGAAAATTGAGCTTGCAAAGACATCGCAAGCTATCTTGTTTGCTGGCCTGAGATACTGTTGTCGTATCGTAGCTTGCAGGGTTTTGACTCAACGCGCGGTCTCATGCTTTCCTCGTTCATAATAGACCTAAAATTAAAGAAAGTCTTCTATTGGAATATTTAATACATTCTACGTATTAATCTATTCCTTGGGTACGCAGTGTCTACCTGGTCTCCTCTCGGGCTATGCCACTGCAGTGTTCGTCTACCACGCCATTCCGAAGGTGCGTACACTTTCTTTATCAAGGAAATCTGAGTGAGGCCTTTTACCGCAAGGCTGTCATTTGGTCCACTTGCTATCCCGGCACGTCTGTGACAGTGCTAGGCGGGGTTTTCACGAACTCAATTTTTTTCCTATTGATTTTCTTGATATTTTTTTGAGAAAGAGACAGCGGTGGTTGGTCTTGTTGAAATTGTGCCGCCGCTGTTAAAACATCGCGCCGTCGTAACAGGAATGTTGGAAGCACGTACAAACTGCAAAGACAATGCTGTTGGCAATCATTAGTTCCGTAATTCGTAAGCTCCCCAGCCTTTAAATGACGCTTGTTTTCCGCTCCCAGGGAGTCACCCTTTAAGACGGCCCCGTCTTGGTACACATACACCCCGACACTTCAGTGATTTATGGTACCCTTACTGTACAGTAGCGGCCGGTGGCTAGTGAATTAGGAGGTATGCATGCCTATAAAAATGGCGCATGTGCAATTTTCCTTGATATCTGAATTTTCGAAAAGTGCAAATGTTACACGTAATGAGAAGTATGTGATTGTGCTGTTATAGCATCACTAGTTTTCTTTCAAAGGCGTCCATGGAATGCGAACTGAACATTTGCGGACAGGGAATGTATAAGTCACATAGGGCCCACATCGAGCGTATCCATCAGATGCGCGAGTTGGTTCCAAAGCCTATGTTGACTCGAAATTTGACAGGCAAGTAAATGACTTTTCGAGCAAGGGCTGTATCCAGAGCTCCGGGCGTTAGTGCGCAAGACGAAACCTTGTTCCTTAACTTGTCTTGCAAGTAGCAAAAGATGGGTAGTACGAGCGTGACTATTTCAGAGTCACCTAGCATTAGGAACAAGATTCACAATCACAACATGCATCTGCACTGCTCTTTACTATCGCACAGCAACCCTTTTAATTGGGAAAAGTCGTCCAAAATGGGGACGCTAAGATATTTTAACATATATAAATAAATTATCGATAAAAAACAGTTTAAAAATTATTTCGATATTAAGTAAAACTGAAACTACCAGACGTAATGTATTTTGTGTTTAGCAAAATATTGACTTCGATGGAAAAGTACGTTTTCGTGAAAATGTGCAGTGTCCCTGATTTGGACAACCAGTTGGCTAAAATGGCGATACTCTAAAATGATCAAATATTGAAGACATTTATTACAAATCATTTAGAAAGTCGATAATAAAATTAAGTAAACTATGGCACGTACAAAACATAAGAATAAACATATTTGTCACGTAAAGTTGTTTGCACTAACATTTCAGTTTGTACAGGAAGAAAATAGAGCCGAAATCACTCGCAAAACAAGTTACAAACAAACGTGTCATCCCTTTTTCAGCATTGGAACGGGCTTCGTGTGCGTAACCTTTGCAGGTACCACATTCTATCTAGCTTTCTATCCCTTGCAGTTTGTCTAAAGCTCGTTGCAAAAGATGCAGATATCATCAGCATTCTCTTCAGAACTAATCAGGGTTTCCTCAGCTTTCGTTTTTTTCCTTTCTAAGTTGGCGCATTATTTTCACTATATTTTTTAAAACTTTTTTCTCCTACCCATTTTTGCTTGTTCTTCTTCAAAACGAAGACGTCCCAGTTTTGGTCCGTTTCAATATCCCTATTCCAGCAGGCCAGGGAGACCGCTAAGCAAACATGGCGTCTTTTTTCAACCATGCGAGATAGCGTAATGTATGTCATACCTTAAGATTAGGGTAATTACGCTTTACTCACCAGAAGTGAATGACAAAAAGAAACTTGTTATGATCCAATACATGAAGTAAATGAAATTGTAGCGGTTTTCAACAACAAACATTGAAACTTTCGTAAAACAAACAATTACACTCACACGCATCCACAACTCTCAAACTGTTTGACAAGCTCTCTAGTGTAGTAGTACCACGTTTGGTCACCCTAATCATCCCTTGTCAGTAAGAAACTGAACGTCCCCGTTTGAACTTTCCTTTTCATAACTACGCAACAATGGTCTCAATTGTTCTTTTTTAATTTGTTGCGTCTACCTTGACGCATCACGTCTCTAAAGACCTACAGGTGCATTGAGCGATTGCATTTGGAGTAAATCCTCCGTTAACATAATTGTTGTTCGATTGGCCGTCATTTTATATCCACTCTGGCGGTATTAGTGGAGTGTCTCTGTTGTACAACATTGCTACGGAGGACTAACTTTCAATATGAATTGGACTCTGCTATCGAAAGTAACATCGCTGGTTTTCTACACAGCCTGCGTCCATGTGCGGCAACCTGGTTGACACGATGGATTCATATGAGAACCCAGCACAACGCAATTTTCAAATAATCAGGCACATCAACGAAAATGAAACCTACACCATTCTTTTAAGCGTCCCTTGTTTTATTCACAGAAGAAGAAAAAAAACAAGAAAATATTAAAGCTGTTTTTGAGAAAAAGTTCTTTTTGTATTACTTCCACTCAGAAATTATAACTTTTTTCAAAAATCGTACATGACCTTTTATGAAGTTATGATTTTTTAGAACAAATTTAAAGCAAAAAATGTATATCTTTAATTTTGTAAATTTGAAATGTTAACTTTTTGCAATCTTCGAAAATATAGAAAGTTCGCCGGAAATGACACTAAACCACTGTTTTACCACGTTTTTTTTTTTGTGGAACACATTTGAAGAAGAAATTTGACGTCGTTTTTGAGAAAATATGTTTTTTATGAATTGTATTAACTTCAAAAAGAAAAAAATACTCGTTTAAAAAAGTACATGCTCTTCTTTCAAGATGTATTTTAAGATCTGCCGAAAAAATTGAACTTATGCAATATTCGAATTAACGGGGATTTCAAGGAAAATGAGACCTAATGTTTAAGAAATGAGACCATCTTTTAAGCTTTTTTACGCTATCCGATGACTACGTTTAATCAGAAAGTCAGTAGCCATTTTTAAAATACTTTGTTGTGGAAAAAATGTGATTGAGGCTTCATGCAATATACTCCCAAAAATCAAAATAACCGTTTCTTACTTGGCCTGGTTTCCTTCAAATCGATCGGGGAATATCAGTTTTAGAGAAAATCGTGTGAACAGTCGTTATCATTGATCTCAGACAGAGATAAGACGTTTCGCCGTCAATCGTTTTTCTGTATCAAGGACCCACAAAACATGAATTCTGACTTGACAATGTTTTAAAGAAGGTAACTTACTAGAAAAAGGAACAGTATTTATACACTTGTTCATTACCAGGCCCCGGAAATAATTTTTCCGACGCAAAATCACCGTTTTCCGCTGCACGATAAAAATACTTTCTCATCTTACAAAGTAAGACGAAAAAATGAAAATTGCACAACTTTTCTATATCTGAAAATTTTGAGAGTTTAGGAAATTGTAAACCAGCCTAGCAAGTGTAGAAATGAATTTGGAGTTTTTCTTAGCTTCACGTGTATTGGATCATGTTACTCGACCCAGTGAATTAACCGTGTTTATGCGTTTGACTTCCATAAAAAAACAAAAGAAATTTATCCAATTATATGGTCGGTATAACAAATTCAGATTTTCTTAATCTTTTCCACAATATAAATACTTCTTATATTCCCCAATACGTCAAAGCAACAGTAAAGTTGATCGTAATTTTATTGTTCGAGTCATAAAAGATAAAAAAAAAACTTGTATTTCAGTACATTAAAGAATTTGAAACTTCCATTTACTTAACCCTAGAAACATCGCATTATCACGAAGTCAATAGTTCTTCACGATTTTCTAGGAAGTCGACCAGGTTAAGCAAACTTAACAACTATAAAATTTACCAAACGATTGTAATACGAGTACAACGATCAAATTAGAATTATTGATTTGACAGGTTTGGAGTTTTGCAGCGGTAAAAGGAATTAATTATTTTTATTAGTAAACCAATATAAATAATCTTGATAATTTAAAAAATGGAAAGGGCTAATCAAATTCTCTGGTGGTGCTCCAACAGCATATACTTTCTCGTATTATTTCTAAATTCTCAATTTTCGAAAATACAGAGAGTTCAACAAAAATAAGACCAGCGCTGGAAAGAAAAATTTGGCGAGGTGTTTCGTGAAAAAATGTAACATTTTCTAATTGCGCCCACAATTACACGAAAAATACTCATATTTTCGAAAATTTGAACATGAATTTATTTATATATCTCTCTTTAAGTAACAGATTTCATTGAGGAAAAAATATCAATCTTCAGTGCTATAGTTGTAGGAAGACGCCCCAAAAATTGCACTTTTGCAATTTCCAAAAATCTTGGATATCGACGAACATGATACCTGCACCATTCTCTTAAGCGTCCTTTTCTCTATCCTAGGACAAAGTTTGATAAAAAATGTGGTGCCTTTTTGGGAAAATTTGGAAAGTGTTTGTAAAGTTTCGTGTAAATACCCCCAAAAATCAAACTATACGTTTGAAACTCCCAAATCCTCGAGTTCATTTAGATCGATCGGGGAAAATCAATTTTGAAGAAAATATGTTGAACGGTTTAGGCCATGGATGTCTAACTTGAAAGAACTCAAGGGCCACAACTAAAACCTTTAATATGGATGTGGGCCATATTTTCATTATTCGCGCGCTCCATGTATTGTTGATCTCGGCAATTTGCCCGGCTGCTCCGAAAGATACTTGCATCCGAAAGATGGAATCATGCATAATATCAGGCCGAACCTCGTATAACACAGCAAAACGCATTTGAATGATTTTAAATTTATGAATTTACTAGAGACAAAAATGAAATCTTAACTTAAGCTATCTTTACATTAAGGGAGTGTTGACCCCCCACAGAGCACTTGCGCGGGACGCGCAATGTTCTCGCCCGACGCGGATGGAACTTCTTTCTCCTTTGACTAATACCTTTCGCGGGCCACAATGAATGGTACCGCAGGCCGCCAGTTGGACGACCCTGGTTTAAGCGCTAGCGTTGACCTCAGGCGCACAGACAGACGTTTTGCCGTCAATCGATTTTTCGGTATCAAGGGTCCACAAAATGTGGATTCTGACAACAGCAAGTGTTAGATAATTTTTTTCTTCTGAATTTACCAACTCTTTATCGACTTTTTCGTTACCAGGGCCCGTCAATACGAGTTTTTCTGCCGAAACTTCGCCGTTTTCTGGCGCACGATTACATAATTTTATTTTTACATAACTTTACAGAGTACCTTCGTAAGGGCGAAAAAGTAAAACTATTCAAGACGTGGTTAAACGGTGGAAATAAAAGGAACAAATATATAGTGGATTATTATTTTATTTATTGAATAATACCCAGTTTGGCAAAAGCTTATGGACAGGGTTTGATTTCTCGATGCAGCAATCAAATATACAATCAGATAAACGACACCTCGATACTTGGACCTATTGGTTCGCTTGCGAAATAGTTTTGCGTTTTTAATTGGAGATCCTACCGAAAATTGAGTTTGTCTTTTACGTTAAATACGTGGTCGACATTTTGCTAGTCGCCTCCCCATCAAATAGTTGCTAGTCGGGATGTTTAATAATTTCACTGAACATATTAATTTAACGACTGAAAAAGAAGTGAATCAAAAAATAAACTTTTTAGAATATAAATTTTCAGGACTGAGACATCACATTATACTAATTGGTTTCCAAATCAACAGGAGCGTGCGATGATGTGCATTGTATACTCCAGCTACTAGCGACCAACCTCCGTTCCCTACCCTCCCCATCCCCCACCATATACAAAATTGTCGCGCAACAGGAGGTTCGTGAAACACAACCGTGAAACACAAAACCCTTAGAAAATAAAGAATTAAATGGAAACATAAAATAAACATGCAATTTATCACTCCCACACATGATGTATTTTTATGAGAGAAGTATTTTACAGAACAAGAAAATAATTTCTGCTTCCTGCAAACGTTTTTGTAATCAGTGGAAACTAAAATCCATTTTTCTTTCGTGACTAGCAAAATACTGCATAGTTTCTTGAAAAATGACTGTGTGTGTCATATGTCCTGAATCAGTGATGATTCAATATGCTAAAGTGGATAATCTCTTTTCACTAGTTCTGATTCGATCATTAGTTGTTTATTCTTTTCTCCACATCACGCACAGTAATACCATGCGAATCTCTTAAGGGTGCGGTATGCTGTTCGAAAATTCGGGGAATCTAGCAGTGGCAGCTGGTGCCCCAACAGACTGAAGGTTACACCGCCATCGAATGACGGAAATATAATTTCAAAAATCAAAAATACGAATGTATGAAAACCAGAACAGTATTAGTAACGTTTGAGAAATCTATCTAAGTCAATATTACTGTAAAGTCATGGTGCTTTGTTTTATCATTACAACCACGAAAAAACATGTCCACTAAATAATAGCCTAAAATAAACACGTTTTTCAGAATTTATAAATAACGGTATAAATCTCACTTATGCCGTTGTGGTTTTTACCCATTCATATAATAAAAATGTAAGCAATTCAAGTAAATTAATTAAAACTATCTTACTTAATAGTCTATATTGAAACATTACTTACATAATTTTAAACGTATTCGCGTAGTATATGTACCTCCAGCGCACATGGTTCTGGCTTTGATTTCCACTAGGCACTTAAGTTAGACTCCAGTACATTGCAACAAGCACTATTCATACAAATCGACTTTTCATACGCTTTATCGCTTCGATGTTTCATACAAATAAAATTATTTTATTTCGAAAACTTCACTACCCTGGTATATTTGGCAATAATGAAAGAGCTTCGACACACATTCGTATTCACAAAAACACTTGCAAACTGCTGGCCGACCAGCTGCAGGCACCAGCAAGCACACTAGTTTCCGCGAGTCCAGAACGGCCATCTTTATGCGAAGATCTTGTCAAATGTAAGTTTTGAATCAACAAACTTAATTGACGATGTGGGACATGAGGGACAGCAAACAAGCGAACCGACGCGAACAGAATTAGAAAACAATGTAAAGCTTTAGTGATTTTTATGACCATGGATAGTAATATTTAACTTCTTGAAAATCCTTTTCTGTGGACATAAAATTCATACAACAATTGCAGTGTGAAGTTGAGTTTCTTCAGACTAACGCACATCTAGAAACAATATACAAATGCTTGATTTTTACTTCAAGAATTTTCAAAAACTTTTATTTAAGGATAATATATTATTTGAATTTATGCTTAAATGTTTTCAAAAAAGCTTTATATTTGATTTTAGCGTGATGGTAAGGGCAATTACAGCTCGAAATACTTGTTTTTCTTAAGATACCATAAAAAAACATGTATTTTGTTCGTGTAACAATGTATTGTGTAGTGCAAATAATTTCAAAACATAAAGGTTTTTAAAATAAATTTGACTTTCTGATTTATATACATTTTCTATGCAAGCAGCAATTTCTATACATTAACATAAATCACATGTCCACCTGAAGAATTGAACGAATACTCATCAAAGATAATGGTTACATTTCCCCACTCATGTTCATTCAGACATGTCACTCCTCCGTCAGTTCCTCAATATGCCACTTCCGTGAATGCACACTTCACTGCTCGCTTCCAGCCCCGATAACTCGTCTGTTTTATCCCTCACAACGCACCACAATTCCATCACGGCATTTCTCGCCGACGCCAGCCGTATCCCGAGTAAGGAATGCGACAAGTGTCGATGTTTTCAAAACATGAAATTTCTATAAAAACATCGACGGATTAAAACCGATGTTTTTTAACATCGATGTTCCATAATCACAATGTTGTAAAAGTTAAAACATTAAATAATAACGCAGGATATCACTGTCAGTTCATGTATTCGAACGATGCGAACGCTGTTTATTCTACTGGCAGCGAGCTGATTATTTCTCCATGAAGAGATGACACCAATGACCTGATATTTCCTACGCTTATCCTCTTATTCGCACGCGGAGAGGAGGTGAACAGTACAGCAGGAGGCGAAGCCGCCACCTTCTCGCATATTCAATGGTGAACTGAGGAATGTCTTCCCTCTTGAGATAACCCCGGAGCGCTAGACATTCAGGCTCAAGTTTTTAATTGAATAGTGATTCCGGGCACGTCAACTGGTCATTAGACTCATTAGACATTAAGTATAGGGCATACTTTATAGCGGAAAGTAGGGTGATCTTCCCTAGCTGTATGTCGAGATCCAGCGTCGACCTACTACTACGTCGTGGTCTGACTTTTTCACTGACAATGAGTTTTGTCGCGCATGGGTGACCTTGTCAGTAGGGGCGGTAGCCCAGCAGTACTATAATACCCCTCAGCTTCATTGATGTAACGCAAACCTTCTTACCAGCATGAATTGAAAGCGGTTCGCCTGGAGCAGGAAACATTTTGCCTAATAATGCGTTTGAAATTATGTCTTGTGCTGACTCAAGGCTGTGTTATGTAAATCGCGAAGGCCGCAGGCTGGGGTCTCATTGTCCCCAACTCGGAAATGTGTAGCGAAGCATAAGTTGAGGTATAAGTGAGGTTATGATAGGTTATAGGTGGAATCGTGAAAATAGAAATTTATAACTTTCTCAATGGAACTCGAACACACCTTGTCTCACAATGTCCTCAGACAATTTCCACCAGCATTCTGCTCCATGCTCATCACACAATATTATTACTATTCCTCGGCACTGTAACGTAGCCCTACTTCACCTACCTACACTAGCCACATCGTGAAGGCCAACGTGCACTTCGGTTAAAATTAGGAATTTAGCCCTGTTGTATGCACGTGGATCATATAACACATCTAGTTTTGTTCAATAATTGCTATTGTTTGTGGCTACAGATTATTTCAAGCGATTGTTTGATTTATTAATCGTGTGTTTTGGGGTAGAACAACCTTTCTTGACAGTTTATTATAAAGATGTGGGGAGGGAAGCTGATAGCTGGTGGGAGAGGGAGGGCGCTAGCTGGGCGCTCTATAGAAAGTGAAGCGGCGCGGACTGGGCGCGGAGGCGGGCACTGTTCGCATTCACGAGGCATTTTCGCTTGTGCGGTTGATTATTGATATTTCTGTTAAGACGTAAGTGTTCAGTAATGACACATTATTGTTTACGAATTACGAGGATCTTGCTGCGAGTAAACGAAATTAAGGTGCAAGATGTCAACAAATACAGTCGGGCGAAATGTCATCATGCATATATTTAGGGGTCAAAACTCGTTGACATGGATGTTTTTTGAATTTATTTGCACATATTTTGCTATTATTAGTTTTATTTAAGTGATTACATATTTATGTTCATGGAGGTTAATGAAATTTATTTGTACTTATTTTGTTATTATTGGTTTTATTTAAGTGATTACATATTTTTGTTTATGGAGGTTAATACAATGTGAGCGAGTTTGGTCACCGGCTCAGAGCATTCAGTTCATGGATCAGTATGTCAAGCAAAAACAAGAACGGAAAGATGTTTTTCAGAAATCTACCATATTACGCATTTGCAGTCGGATTTTTAGGTAAGTAGCATTTATGTTAAACTGTTATAATTTAGCAACCATTGTAATTAAAGGATTTTTTTAAAAACATTTATGGGTTAACGATTAGTAATTGAACTTAGTTTAGTGCGTTCGTTTTTGTTTACCATTGTCGTCATTATTATAAAAAATGCAAATACTGATTTAATTATTGTAATTTTCTAATGCAGCATTTGGTGTGGGATTCCTTCATATTTATCATGTATCAACATTATTTGAAAATGATAGACATTTTTCTCATCTTTCAACTTTGGAAAGAGAAATGGCCTTTTACACTGAAATGGTATGCATAGTTGCTATTAAAACTTAATAGTTCATTTGTTACTTCTATTTCAATGCCTTGTGATTGAGAATTATAATATTTTCCAGGGTTTGTATTATTCATATTACAAAACCTTGGTGGAAGCACCATCATATATGGATGGTCTTTTAAGCATTATGTATGATAATAAAACTGAATATCCATCAATTATCAATACATTGCAGAGGTTTAATTTATACCCTGAGGTATGTATTTATTTCTATTTCAAAGTTACGTTTGGCAATATCATTAGAATTGTTGGTAAAAATTGAAAGTTGAATCTTCTGAAGCTGTTCTTCTCTAAAAACTTCATTGAAGTTATAGTAGCTTTGAATTTGACGGAATAGTAGACAAGTATTAAATCTCAAAAGCTCTGAACTCGGACTTCATTGCATGATTGCAAATAATTTTAATGTAGAACAACAGTGTTTTTTTATCAACTCAGTAGGATTGGCCATATTGTAAAAGCTACACGATTTATAAATTAAAACTAAAAAGTCATGATCTGTTTTCAAGAATTTAAAAAAAAAAGAAAAGAAATCTGTGAGAAAAGGTGACTTGTAGATAATTTGTTTTTCGTGCTTCTGCATAAAAAAGAGAAATTCTTTGCTTCTATGTTTTGCATTAGAGGTATCCTTTGTGTACTTTTTGATATTTTTTTGTTGTGCTTTTCATTTTCATAAAAGAAACAGGAGGTAGCCTACATTTCTTTACAATCATTTCTTTAATTGTTAATCTGCAGTTTTTAACCTAATACACAATTGTAAACACAGTTGTCTTCTTTTATTAGCTGTTTGAAAAACAGAGATTTGTAACATCTTGATGAATATGAATTTTTCAGTTTGTTGAGTTGAAGTTTCATTTCTGAAAAATACATGCATTCATATGTTGTGGTACTGTTGTGATATATGTGTAGGCTTCTTCTGCCCTAAGACATAATTGCAAGGTATTCATGTCATGTCATATTCATTGAGTATTTTATCAAATCATGTCAAATTCGTAGAAATTAATATTAAATCTTGCTGATAATTGTAGATATTTTACTGGGGCATCTTGTAATATTGCTGACTTCTACCTCAGGACAGTTTCAATTCTTGTTGATCATTTTGAATCCTTAATGACCAGGAGTTTTAATGGAAAGTTTTCCGATCCCCTTTGATTCTTCATGGCTTCATTATTTATACTAAAAATTCATTGACCCATTCACCACCAGTCTATTATTCGAAAATACTTCATCAGTACCAATCAGATTGCATATCATCATTCAGCTGGTCACTAATCCCCAACTGGCATGGTGAGATTTTGTAATGTAATTGACACCATGGTGCCATTTTCATCCTGTTACTTATTTCCTTTTCATTATGAAATTTTCTTTACAACTTCCCTTCTTTACTTTTGAATATTTCTGTAAGTTCCTTTTAAAATCAGGTAGAATAAATAATTTATATTTAATATATGTGTACTTAATTGATTACAATTTAACTTTTCTGTAATAGAATAATAATAAATGTAAATGAAATCACTTATTATTTCTGACAGGTTTTAAAACTTTATTTAATACCTATCATTTTCTGTAAACCATATTTAATATTTAAAAGTAAACCTTGAATGCAGCAATGCTGACTCATAGGAATTCCTTACATGAAAAATCTCACAAATGGTTGTGTAACTGGTGAGATGTCGTTCTGATCTCAACAAATGTTTTCCTTTGCATCGCTGCCGAATAACTACACTAAATGCAACAATCCTTTATAGGACAATAGATAAATATGTAATTTGAAGGTGAATCACATATGGTCATTTTCATTTGCATAATAAGCAGGATATCAAACTTCCAAATTTGATTGAGATCCAAATTGCGCCATGGTGCTAGTTGAGGGTAAAGGCAAGTTACCTTGGATTACAATCTTATAACATGGGAATAATGATAATGGAAGTAAATGAACTTCAGTAATTAGCCTTTCAGGCTAAGTTTAGTTTTTACATATATCTGTTTATTTCTTACAATTTTGAAATGTGTGAAAGTATTTGGTAAATGTTCTGTAATTATTCAAGTTGGGTTTTTTATATATTAAACAATACTAGATAAATTGTAATAAATTTATATGTCTCATAAAATAATTTATTTTGTGGAGATTTCAAGGTATGAGTATATAGAAATAAATTGTCCTCTAAAATAAAATTGCCTTTAGAAACCAAATTTTTATCACAAGTATATCAATTAAAGAGTTATGTTTCTATGTGTTGGTGTGTCATTTACAAATTAGCTTACTTAGTCTATGCAATCTGTGTTCACTTTGTATTAACCAGGAAGGAAAGTTAATTCTGTGCATATATGCATTATGTATGTTGAAAATTCCTTTTGAAATATTGTGATCATTATTTCATGTATTAATGGTGTTCTGTTGGTGTATATTGTTAATCATTGTTTCAAATGTAATTATAAAAATGATAATAGCTATTAATTATATAATATGTTAATTTTGTATAAATAATGACATAATTACCAAATGTTCTTTTGGGTTTGTTTTAATATACACGTTATAAAATAATTGTATACAATTCATTATAAATTTATTCAAAACAACATTTTTAATATAAACACTAACATAATGGCATCATAATCATCATCAACATTAGTAATGTTTAGATCCCATGACCTATTCCTTGTTTCCAGCAGTCCTCTTTCCCACCATTCCTTTGGTCTGCGAGAGTCTTTATTTCCTCATGGTGTGTAGTTCATTGCCATCTTTGGGAGTCTACTTGGTTGCATTGTTTTTATATATTCTTGCATTTTTTCCTGATATTTCTCCATTTCAGTGACCAATTTGTGTTTTTGTGTTTTCCATATTTGTTTTTTACTTCGTCTTTTTGATTTACTCTCTCTTCTTGAGTGTACTGCTCACTGGTACCTCATTTGGGCTGACTATTTTGTTTATTTCCTTGTTTGACTGTCCCATGTTTCAATGCTATATTGTAAGGTTGGTTTTGCCACTATGCTGTGGATTCTAATTTTGTTTCTTTGTTCATGTTTCAGAAGTGTCTGTTTATGCAGCTATTAATTGTGTTAAATTTTACCAGTTTTGTTTCAATATCTTAATCTTTTAGTGATATCTTGTTACCTTGATATGTGAAGGTTGCTACTTGTTCTGATATCTGATTTTCTATTACAACTTTTACTCTGCCGTAATGCTATTTTTCTATTACCTTGGTTTTTCCAATTGATATATTTAATTTTGTATTATTTTGCTATTCCATTTAGCCTGTATACTGCTTTTTGAAGATCGTCTTCAGTTGTAGCTAGTGCCACCTGGTCGCTGGCATGTAATATTTTTGTTATTTTCTTGTGTCCCATCATTATTCCTCCTTTATTTGTCTTTCATTCTTTAATCATTTGCTTCATTCAGTGTTCATCCTTGTCGTAGTTCTGTGTTTGTTGACCTGTTACAAGTCTTTCTATTGTTTTGATGAATTTGTCCCAGTCTTCTCTTCTCATCTTCCTGTATCTTCTTCTCATCTCTGTACATAGTTTTTTATATTGTACACCATCTGCAAGACTTCTTGTTCAGTGATATGCTTTGTAAACTTTTTTCTTTCTTCCTATTAGTTTCGCTGTTTCATTATTCCAGGTTTGGAGCAACTTTTTGTCCTTCTTTGGCTTATAATTTATGGCTTCTTCCGCAGCAGATTTAATTTTGTTTTAATCTTCCCCATTTTTTTCTGCTTTTCGAATTATCATGTTCTTCCTCTAGTAATTTCACTTGAATTTTACTCTGATACAGATCTCTTATCTCCCTTTCTTCTTTTTCCTCGAGATGTATTTTTAAACGTTTTTTTATGTTCTTTTATTACACTTGATTTTTCTCTTATTAATTTTCTGGATCACTATTTTGCCCATGTCTGTTTGTAAAGGACACAGTAGTATATAGCCAAAGCCAAAGGATGGCATGTTATAATGATTATTTGATTGGTTGCAATTTTTGTTGCTCTAATGATAAAGAGAAATAATCTTGATTTGGAATCTACTAAATTGCAGAAATAATTAACTGTAGTTGTTTTTTAGAGAAATAATTTGGGTTTCAATGTATTTTTTCATTCAAATTTAAATGCCAGAAAAGTTTAATTCTAGTAGTAACGTATCTATTGCTTTTGTCCATTTTGTAATAAATATCTTTTGCATAAATGTAGGTGGTTGTGGCTTTCTTTTATCGAGGATACCTACGTGCTGCAGAAGATATGAACTTCACTACCAAACATTGCTGGCAAGTTGATCGAGGAAATGGTCTAATGCCTGTGCTAAGTTGTGAAGGTCTTGGTGATCCTGCTTATTTTTATTTAGAAGCTGTATGGATATGTGCTGGTTTGACGATGACAGTAGTGTTTTTATTTGGGCAAATGCTCAGGTACACAGGAACTTTATATTTTATTAGTTGAAGATAAAAGACCTTGAAAAATGGATAATAATGAATTCTTCTTTTCTTTTTCAGTGGAAGTATTGTTGGTGGAGCACTTTCAGTTATATCCTTCTTTTACAATCATGGAGAGGTAATTCCATTATCTGTCAGATGTTTATGTTCTACATTTGACAGTAAATATTACAGTGAACTGAATGCAAATTATTAAATACTTTTATTATGTAACTTTTTGTTTCAAATATTCATTTTTCAAAGTGGGAACACATATTGAAGTTGATTTCTAAATTAAAAAATTGTAAGTATTTGTGAATATGAATTAATTTATTGGGAAAAATATAAATTGTTGCCTTTTTATAAAGTTAAATTCACAGTTAATCAGAATGCTCGGGGAAAACTTATTTGGAAATATAGTATGTCGTATGTATGTATGTAAGTGGCTTGACAAAGCAAAGCACAGCACAGCTTGACAAAAGCTCTAAAAGGTAACCAGAACTCCTTTTCATTTTATTGCTGTGAGCATCTCTTCATTAAAAAAATTATTTATTCTCTTTATTGAATATAATAAATAGAGTGAATATAATTTAGACTCAAGTAGATTTTGTCATGAAAAATGTATGCATATTTTAATGTTGCACAGTTGCCTTTTGATTCTGGAAAAGCTTTATAATACATTCTTTTATATCAGTACACACACAGCCCAAAATTAAGTTGGTAAATTTAAGTATGAAAGAAGAATTTTAATATTTCAGTTGTGTCATAATTCTTGAGTTGCATTGACTAACAAAAACAAAACTTCAATTGACTTTTTTCAAAGGGTTTCTTAATAACCCAAGATTCATTATGGTAATGACTTATTGTTACAATTGTGTTCCACATTTCACTTTTTTTGCTCAATTTTTTGTGTTAGTTAATATTCATTATTTTCTCAGAACCTTTCTTTTCTTTTTCTTATGCATTATCAATATTGAAATGTACATGTATATATTGGTTGTCACATATGACCAAAGTAGCTGCAGTGTAGCTTTTGGTACTAGTAATTATCTTCAGATATTTTCAATTTCAAATACGTAATAAAACGAATTTGTTTCAGTGCACCAGAGTTCAATGGACACCACCCCTGAGAGAAAGCTTTGCATATCCATTTTGTTTGTTACAAATGCTAGCATTAACAAAAGTATTACATTTAGGAAGTAGTCCAGAAAATAGAAACCATTCCATATTGCTTCGCAAGGTTAGTATTGATTTTCAGCCTTCGGATATTGAGGTTCAGAATACTCCTCTTGTAGGTGCCTAAAATAGACTCTTAAGGGACAAAAATAGGTGGTGTAAATTGACAAGAAAATAATTTTTTTACATACATTTTATTTGTCCTTAAACTGTTATCTCAAACTGTTTTCTTTTACATAAGTGTAAAATACAAAAAGAAGCATGAAAATGGTAATTCTAAAATGGCTGCTCCTTTTATTTCTCACAGAATCAATTTATAAGCATGGAATAAGCTTTCATATTTCAACATTTAAGCATGTGTTGATGTGCATGTGTTAATGTTAGAATAATTCTCTTTCTTTTTTGCTGCAGAGTTCATTTAGGGTAATACAGAACTCTTAAAACAGATTTTAGTTTATTGGATATTCTCCTTAGCAATACTTTCAAGGTTATTCTTCACAGTTTCATTTATATGAGTTTGGCATTTTTAGACTTTTAAGAATGAAAAGACATTTTTAGGCTCTAACATTGATATTGTCTTATTTGTTCCGCTTACACATTTTGTCCCTTTTTTCCCCTTCTCTAATTTTCACCATTGCCCCATTTTATCCCCTTGCCCATTTCGTCCTCCTTTCCCCACCTTGTCACACTTTTCCCTCTTTGTTCTTTCGTGCACAGCGATTGTTATTTAAAAACCACACTAAGACCCTGAATCAACAACCCTTGCTACAGAACATCAAGAGTAAAGACAATTCTTAACTTTTGAATGTGTGAAATGTTAATTTTGAATTACTAAAATATCTAGAAATAACAAAAAGCATTGTATGTAACATGTCCTCTGTTAGTCTTTAAGGACTTTGCTGGAAGTTAAATACTTGGCTCTGCTATCACTCCGCCTCACAGTGAACCTTCGGGACTCCTCGTAAAGACTCATTTACAGAACTAGTTACATTTATCAATTACTTGTTACAGCTATTAATTAATTAGTAAGGAATTGTCTATCATTTGTGAAATTTTCTTTTAATATAAATATACCAAATAATTGAATTTTTTCTTGTAACTTTTTGTTATTCTGATGGGTTAGTAGGAGGAGAGACTGCTGTACTTCTGAACATTTTACTTCATTTTAAGAACAAATCACTTCAATTTAATTTTTTCATATTTTTAAAATATATAATTATTTAAGGTAGCTCTTTACCTAAATAAGCAATTTTTAGAATATATTTTCATTTAAATTATTATTGTGCTTTTATGTTCAAATAAAAGAAAATATAAAAAAAAAATCACATTTTGAAATATAATGCAATGTTAATGGGAAACGCAATATCTCGAAAAGTATTTGAAAGAATCAAATTTTCTTTTTTGCAAAATAATCAGAACTTTCTGTTCTAGATAATAGACCTAATCTGTGAAATATACAAATAATAACTTTATTTTTAAGCCAATTTATAAATTAACTGTAGTTTTTAAAAAAATGTTGAAAATGTTACGGTCATTTAAACCTTTACCACAAAGGTAATGGCCATGTGCAAGAGTAAAGAAAAACTAAAATATCTCAGAAACAACACATGTTAGAAAAAAGTAGTGTAAAGCGTTTAAAAAAAATAAATCATAGTATAATAACCAATGAAAATTAGAAAATGGAAAATTTTATGGTTTTTCACAATTTTCAGGTATAGAGCTTTACTTAAAGAAGTCTATTTAGAATTGGACCATGTCTGTTATATGAAAAACACACGTTTTCTACTTTTGAAGAAGGCGAAGAAGAATGCTCATGCCGCATGTGCCCACACACAGACACACACACGCACGCCCACACGCGCCCCACACGCGCCCACACGCACCCACGCACACAGGCACACGCACGCACGCGCACACGCACGCAGTCACACACACATACTGATGTGTAAATCAGTGCCGAATCTCACCATCCTGTGCAGAAGGAATTATCATCACCTCCAAGGACACAGCATTCACTACATTCATGGGACTAATGACCATAGCAGTTGATGTGCCCCAAAAATCAATCAATAAATCAATCAGTCAGTCAGTCATTGAAACTCACAATTGTCGTATTTCCTCATAGGTATAAAGAAATTTTTTTTGTCATAGTGTTTCAAATACTTTGCTCGATATTAGAAATCTTATGTTCAAATGTAATTTTGACATAGTATTTCTTTGTTATCAACATCTGTTATTTCTCCTATGGAATTGGCATTGCTTTGCCGCTTTGAAACTGAATAAACACAGTTGCCAACTTCAAAATTATTGTATTCATGTTTCATCACAATTTCATCAAAATCCTTTGAAATATCAGTCCCCATTTTATCACCTTCAGTGCTTCCATCTTGAAAGAACTTGTCAAACGTATTTAGAATAATTCTGAAGAACTGGTTTGGTAACATGTGTAGCTATAAAGTACATTTTATAAATCTGTTCACAGGTAACAGAGATGGTCTAGTTCGGAAAAAAGCCTTGATGCTATTTTATTAGTTATGTTAAAAATTAAAATAATTAGAGAAATATACTCTTAAAAACAATCAATGTGCTGTGTCAGATATGTACACTTTTACCAATCATCAGTGAAAAACAACAACAAATACCACAAAATGCTACTTTGAAATACTAAAAATCAAAAACTTGGAGGCAAGGATCAACTTGCTACCTAATAAGCTAGAACTTAGTAGCATGCACTTGACTAACTAACAAGAATATAGGAACTACAAGACAGTGGAGATGACACAAGACATGGTCTAAAAGTTAAAGTGTTCAATGTACAACAGTCTCTGAAATTTACCATTCTTTTCATGCCTTCCCTTAGATGGGAAATTTATTTGTGTCGAATATTATTCTAAAATGCACATGCTCCTTAATTTATGGTGTATGATTGTAATTTCACATTTACCTTCAAGCTTATGTATGTATTTAAATTTTAGAATATATTTTCACTTCTTCATATGAGATTGTGTTCAGCAAACTAATAATTGTCTTATATTTTAGGTCTTGTTTATATGGATTCCAACATGGATATTTTTAATCTTGTGGCAGTTTGCACAATTTGTCCTTACCACCCAGTTGCTTGCTGTGTTTTTCTTGTATGTGTTGGGTATTATTAAAAGAAACACATTTCTTCCAATTATTTATGGATATGCTGTAAGTAATATTACCAATTTTTTATATTTTATATTTGTAATATTTCTTCTCATTTTTCATTCCCCCCTCGAATCATTTTCTCCATTTCTCAGTTTTCTTGTTCTCTGTGTGTGCATTTTATATTTTTGGTCTTTCTCTCCGTAACATATACCATTTTTTTTCTTCTTCTTTTCCTCTCTTTTTGTAATAAATGTACTTGTTTTTATTTTTGAAAATAATGTTGGGTGATTCGTGATGTAGAGATCAGCCTGCTGGAACCAGAGTTCAGTTTATTGTCAATCCATGTGGAAGTTTGTGGTGGGCAGGGTAGGTTTGCAGTAGGTTTTTTGGGGATTCTTACATTTTCCGTGCCTGTAATTCCACTATTGCTCCATCATCATTCATCATTTCGTCATCAACTCCTGCTCTTCTTTTCATCTCCCCATGTGTAGGCAAAAAGGTGTTGATAAAGAAATTGTAATATTATAGTTGAAGTGGCATTGTGAAAATTCTGATATTTCTCCAAATAACGGCTAAAGACTCAGACTTTAAAAGTCTGTAGCTGATCTACACTTGCTGAACATTTTTTTTCCACTAAGTAATTAATTTCTTTTGAGGAAGGGGGAAAGACTTTTACATGAATATTTATTTTATTTTCAATCAAATTAATTTTTTATGCTCAACAATTTAATTCTTGTAAAGCCTGAAGATTTTGTTCCGTTACAATAGAATTCTGCCCCTATGAATGATGAACACAACTATGGAACCTGACTTGGAAATATGAACTGAGTATGAAGTCTGTTATGCATAATGAGCAGTCTAAGTATTCCCTCGACATCTGGGAATTCACCATTCAGGAGTTCCGAACATTCGTGATTAGAGAAATTCTACTGGATATAACATTTGCTAGTGTGTCTTTTGGTCTTACTACATTTTTTTTGAAAGCAAGCACATTTCATTTCAATTTCAGCATCATTCATTTTTCAAGAAACAAACTCAGAAGACACCGGAGCTCAAAGTATCTCGTTCTGCGAAGTTGGAATGTCAATTCACATTAATACAGTAACACAATTGTAAAATAATTCAATTCAGTTGCATCAATTTGGAGCTAAGAGTTTTGGCCACGCGAACTGAACTGAAAAGACATTGATAATATGTGCAACTCTTTGTAATAACTTCACTGAAGAGGGAAATATTTAGCGAAGGAAACCTTCAGGATGAACCAAAGGAAACTGCGTCCTGGAGCAACTACAATGTCAAAACTGATAATGGCGTTCTAAAACGCCAAAAAGCTCTAGTGCAAAGGGCATATGAATGTGATCTGTACATGGAAATAACTTCAAAATTTAAGAGAGCAGCAACTCTTCCATATTTGGATATTAGGATAACAAGGAGGGTGATGAAACAAAAAAATAACCAATTCGTATATCGTCACTTTCAACTTTGTAATATGTTTCAAATATTTCTTTTCTTTGGAATGTTTTCTTTGGAATTGTCTGTTTCTACTAGCATGTACTCAGTTCTACTGCAGTTGTTTGTCAGATATTTTTTTCTTTATTTTTTAAACGTTTTTTCAATATCCAGGAATTTAAGCCACCTTTCATCATTAAAAAATGGACTCAACATTTACAAATTCGGGCCAACATTTACATTCACAATGCTTTTTGGGAACCTAATTCAGCAAATATTGAGGGATTACTGTATTTGCTAGACAATTCCAGGTAGTGGTAGAAGTACTGGGTTTATTGAATGCCCAATCATGCCCTCATCATCATTTAAAAAAAATATGAATGCTTCAACCAATATTCTTCATGATTTGATATTAAGATAGGAAAAACAGTATTTTTATTAAAAGAAATTCAGCCACCTTGTCTGTCCCTAAATATCTCATATACTTTTAACTTGTTTTGATGTTAAGTAGGTGAATATAATTAAAGTATGTGAGAAAAAGTATTTTTATGGATCATACTGTTGTGTGTGTGTGTGTGTATATATATATATATATATATATATATATATATATATATATATATATATATATATATATATATATATATATATAATGGTTTTTTGTTGTTGTTTTTTTACAGTTAGCTGTGTCTCATGCAGCTTTCAGCCTTTTTGTCAATGAGTTCCTAATATTTTCATTTCTTACTACTACACTGATTGCTATAATGGTTCTGTCAATGGGCTTGTTACCTGTGTTGAAGAACTATTCCTATTTGTCAAGGGTGCTTATTCTGTGTATGCTAACTCCAATTTTGACAATCGTTATCAAGTCACAAATGGTGTACTTCTCTGGATATAAAGATGATGTAAGTACTTTATTTTGCAATATGTGTATTTACTGTTCTATGTATTGTTTTAAAAATCTTAACATACCTATGTAGATATTAAGGAGCCCCAATTTTTATGATCTCCATCTTTTCTGAAAATGACCTGTAAAATGATAAGAAAACCTGGGTAAAATGATCAAATTTTGTACAAAATGTGAATTTCCTTTTTGAAATATATAGTTTAGTAATTTTATTAGCCACTGACCATTATAGAAATAGCTCTGATCTTAGAGCTACTCCTGCTGCCTCAATGGTGCTCCTTCAGCCCTCTTGCAAATGTGCAATTCTGTCCTGACTCTTTACTGGTGCATGTTTGGGGATGTTGAACTATAACCTGAACAGAAGACATCTGATGTCCCTTAGAATGTAACATCTACAATGAATGTTATAATGCTTCATCAGATTTAAGTTGTAAGACTATCAGTGAATGAAATAAAGAATAACATGTTGGACCCATGTAATTGTTCCTCATTTTGTAAATCAATGCTTTTAAAGTGAAAATAGCTTCATACTCTTTTTGTCACCAGCACCCAGGAATAAGAGTGGTTTCCTGACACACTATTACAATACTTACTCCTCTTACAAAGTAAGGATGAGAAACTAAAAAGACGTGACCTGTAGTACTGTTGGGTCCAGTTTTTTTCAATGTAATTCTTCACAGTTACAAGATTCCATAGCATAACTGTGTTTTTGCGTGTTTGCCTTGTTGTGTATTTGTCTGTGTGTGTGTTTGGGGGGGGTTCTGTGGTGTGTGTAGTGTTTGTTTGTGTGTGTAGGGGGGTTTGTTTGTGAGTGTGCGATATAATATTATTTATTTATGCCCCCACATGTGCGCATGAGTGAGCGCTGATGAGCAAGCAAGCGCACAGGCATAAATAAATAATATTGTTGTAATTAATTATAATATTATAATTTGTAATATTATTGTATTCTGTTTTCAGATGCATATTGTGAATCTTCTGAAGGCCAAGTTTTTGGGATATAAAGATTTCCATACATTATTGTACACCTGCTCTGCTGAGTTTGATTTTATGCCTCTAGAATTTTTCAAAAATGTAACTAAAACTCTTCTTTTGCCTTCTGCAATTCTTACTATCACGCTTGTTTTGTACTCCTGGACTAAAACACTTTCCATCAAACCAAAGCAGGAGAAAACGGAAACGAGGTACAGTTTTAATACATAAAACTAATTTAGATATTACTGTAGAGTTTTTCATTGTTTATGTTTTTTCTGTACAGCTTGATGATAAAATTGCGATCTGTAGATCCTGTTGTTGCCTACAACATTCTACAGTTGATTGCATTTGGAATTATGGCAGCTTTAATCATGCGGCTTAAATTATTTTTTACACCTCATCTATGTTTGATAGTATCATTATTAGCTTCTGCAAAGGCAAGTTATCATAATACAAACATAAAGTGCTTTCATTCACATGGAATAGAATTAAATGGAGCAAAGTGGCATTGTACTCTAAACACTTGTCTTTGTACACAGCTATTAATTATTGTTTTATTTATTATTTTTATAACCTTCAGTACAGTCCATGGCGATCCCAAGAGCTTCGTCTAGCCTTTGTTTTTCTCTTGATCAGTGGAATGAGCGTGAGAGGATTTCAGAATTTAAAGGAACAGAGAGATATTCTTGGTGAGAAATACGCAATGTGTAATTTGCATATATATTTTGTAATATCAATTGAATGTCAGAATGAATTTTGCATTTTAAGTATGTTGCTGAAACAATTTTTTCTCCTAGGGGAATATTCCAATGTTCCTATGGAACAACTTTTAAATTGGATCAATTTAAATACAAAAACAGATGCTGTTTTTGCAGGACCCATGCCTCTAATGGCCAATGTCCTTTTGTCAACTAGACGACCAATTGTTAATCACCCACATTATGAAGATGCTAGTCTTAGGTTTGTTACTTTTTCTGAATATATATTATTTTAAAACAAATATGTCTGTACATTATTTTTATTTTTTTTTATTGCAGAGCAAGAACTAAAAATGTTTACAGTATTTTTAGCCGCAGAACTCCCCAAGAAGTATATGTTACTTTGTCACAAATGAATGTTGATTATGTGATTTTAGGAGAAACATGGTGTTTTGGAGAAAGCAAGTAAGTATTGCACTTAAATTTTATTTATTGATAAATTTTCTTAATTATTTGTTGAAGAACACATTATCTAGATACGTAGTTTTTACATGTAGAGATTTAGTGTGTTCAACAGACATCACATGTGTACCTTTTGTGATTTAATAGAATTCCAATGTATATTTGAACTTTTAAATATTTGCAGTGTATTAGGCCCTATTTGGAAATAAACATTAATATATAAAGAAATAGAAACATAAGTGTGGAATTTTATTAAACACATTTTCAAATTGTAGCCTATAATTTTTCTAAATATTGAACTTTTAAAACATACCCTTACTCTTATCACATTGCTCTTTAGCTTTGAAATCTCTCCCTCACAAAAGTATGTTGTGGGGTTCTTGAACCCCCCTTCAACACTTCTTAATCGTGGAGCACTCGCATGGACGTTAGGTGTAGCCCAGCCCTTTCATTTTTGCTGGTGCACAACCTCTTTTGAGTTTAGAGTGGTGGGGTATTAGTAGCTTCAGATAACTCTTGCCATCCAGTCTGCTTGTGAGCTTTTTATAACAAGCGTGTTGGTGGTGTTTTTAAAGTTGATTGGGTTACAATTGTGCAAGCACTAGTATTGTGGGTGATAGAAAGTAAGTTTGCCATGCAGGAAATCTAATAAAAGGTTATATTATTGTTAAAGTCATATACTATATTGATTTACTATTGTCATGACTGATGAATGATTTTCTGATTAATTATCTATGGGGAAATAAAATATTTTGTATGTCTCCCATTTTTCATCTGGGAGACATAGCTGTATTTATATGCCATACCTTAAAGTTTAATGATTTTCACATCATATTCAAATTAACATTTTGAGATAAACAGTTGTAGGTCAGAAAGTTTTTATGAAACTCACTATGACTAACGTTATAAATATACATGAATTTTGATTTCTGTAAGAGAAAAAGTGTCGTTTACAAAAAACACAAAATGCATAGGAGCTTTGCCAGACGTTAGTATAAATCATCTTAAACCTATAAAAACAGAATATTATTACATATATACTTAAGAAGAATATTAAATACTTGAAATGACACTGTTGTATAAAATTTAAGTGCTAGTATTTGTAACGTTTTTAGTAGTCAAGAGATTGGTAACTTTATTATTAACCACAAGTGCCTTCAAGAGATAATAAAGTTTAGATTCCTGTGACCTTTACAAATGATAACTCTTTCTAAATTATATTTTACTGTGTACTTCCACTTCATTTTCCATGTCTCTCTGAAATCCTTTTGGGAAGAAATTTCATTCGTGGAATATGCGGTCATTTCTACATGTCTTGGGCATTTATGGAACATTTCTAATGCACACGTGTTTCCTGTAATTATTTTTTATTTCCAAAAGGAAATAAAACTCTCAAATGAAGAGATCATCACTCATGTTACTACAATGATTATTATATGACTCTGAAAAAATACTTTGAAAGAAATTGAAGATGAATTTGATGGTATAATTTTTAAAGATATTCTGAATATAATTTTTATATGTATTGTAGTAAAAATTCTTTTAATATAAAATGCACACAATTATAGACACTGTAATCCTTGACTAGAAATCCACAGCCTTATATTATTCAATGTTTTCTAGATTTCAAAGTGACGTCCACAATTGTCTTATATTTAATGAAAATATCAAAGCAATCAGTCTAAAAAAGATGTGTTTTAATGTATTATTTCATCTTTGTCTGAAGTTTCATATATCAATTTATGTTTCCTATCCCCAAAAACGTTTAATAAATAAATTTGTGCCCATTTTTGTGAAAAGTTTGAAAATGTTGAGGCTTTACAGTGGGTCTCAAGTTTCTAGTACATAGGAATTGTACATTGGAAGATCAATTTTGGAAATAATCGTCTGATTGATTTGGGCACTAGCAATAATCACAGAGGGATGGGCAGAGACAGACAGACACATACACGCGGACACAGACACACACGCGCGCGCGGACAAAGACACACACGCGCGCGCGGACAAAGACACACACGCGCGCGCGCGCGGGACATGCGCGCGCGGACACACACACACACACAAACACACACGGGACACACACACAAACGGACCCGGACACATACACACACACGGAGACACACACACGGAGACATACACACACGGACACATATACACACACGGACACATATACACACACGGACACATACACACACACGGACACACACACACGGACACACACACACGGACACATACACACGGACACATACACACGGACACATACACACGGACACATACACACGGACACATACAACACGGACACTAAGCTGAGTCATGTTACACAGGACACAGCACACACACACAGGGACACACACGGACACGGACACCACACGGACACGGACACAATACACACATACACAGCACGGACACATACACACACACACGGACACATACACACACACACGGACACATACACACACACGGACACATAACACAACACACGCACATACACACACACGGCACTACCACACACGGACACAATACACCACACGGACACATACACACCACGGACACATACACACACGCGGAACACATACACAGAATACACGCGGGACACATACACACACACACGGACACATACACACACGCGGACACATACACACACAACACGGACACATACACACACACACGGACACCATACACACACACACGGACACATACACACACACACCGGACACATACACACACACACGGAACACATACACACAACACGGGGACACATACACACACACACGGACACATACACACACACACGGGACACATACACACACACACAGGACACATACACACACACACACAACACGGACACATACACACACACACGGACACACACAACACACACGGACACACACACACACACACACGGACACACACACACACACACACGGACACACACACACACACGGACACACACACACACACGGACACAATACAAATAGAGTAGTTCACTTCCAGGTATGTTAGGATGTAATCATTACTGATGAGATAAAACTATGCGCCCATTACGAAAATAGTAAAAGCGTCGGAAATCTCTTTCCTGGACCAGGCCAATCGAATTGCCGTGTGATAACAGTGTAATAGTTTGGATATATCTAGCGCAGCATCGACTCCACCCTCTCCTGTTTTTCATTTCACTGACTGCTTCATGAAGAATTTGAACATTAGCGAAACACCCAGGTTTGGGGATTAACCCCTTTTGGGATGGAATGAACTTCACCATGGTTCGAGGGCATTTGTCCATAATACCCCATAAGATTGTACACAGTGGACAACCAATCGTGATGGGACGATTGTTACAAGCTTATTTTTACCTCGTTTTGGGATAAGGATAGTGCAATTAGTTTTTCATCCAGAGGTCACAAGGCCACTGTATTGAATTTGGGTGTACAATAGGGACAAAATTTCAATGTTCATCCCTGAAGATATACGTGGCTAACTTCGATTTTATCTGGTCTTGGAGCCGTGGCATTTTTCATTTCAGCAAGGCGATTTTAATTTCAGCGATTTGCACCACATATAGAATAATGTTGAGTTCCGTCCCAGGTGTCGACACTTAAATTTTTACTTTCTCGCTACGTAGTAGAGAGAAGGTTATGTACTGCTGCGCGAAAAAAGGCAGATTTTTGCAGAAAAAACTCTTATTTCATGGCTTTGCTAACGAAAAATGGATAAATCTAGTTTGCTAAGTTTAGAAAAAAATCCTCTAACACGTGGTATAGCCGGAATCTATGTTTTGTGGGTCCTTGTATGAAAAATCGAATGACGGTAAACTTCTGTCCGTTTGTTTCTCTCTCAGCGTCTGCCTCTGGCTATCCCGGGCGTTATTTCTCAATCGCAGGGCAAACAATTCTTTAACACTTCAGGGTGCTGCGGGTTGCGTAGAGAGCCTGAACAGGGGCGCTTGGGTCAGCAGAAAATCAACGCGCATCTACGTGCGCACGCATTTGCACATTCCCATCGTACTATGTCTATATTATTCACACAAATGCAAGCAATAAGTGGACCAAGTTTTATCATAATCGGATGAACGTGACCACAGCGCATTAAGTACGAACCAACCAACTATCAAAAAACATTGTCTTTTATATGTAAGATTTGTCGTGAAAATTTTATTTTCCTTTTTGTCGTTAGTGCTATGGCACACTGACACTATCATACAAGCCGCCACTGTTCTCGACATCTTCACTATGCGCACGTTTTGTTGAGCTCTCCTTTTGCTGCTTGTGATAGCAGTAACGACTGGTGCCCCAACAAATAGGAGTTTGCAGCTCCATCAAATTACGGAAGTGTAATTTCCAAAATTCAGAACACTAATTTATGATAAAAAGTAAGCGGTCATGTAAATTAATTAAAACAGTTCAATAAAAGCCTATATTAAAACCTTACTTAAATAATTGTATGCTTAGTGTCCGTGTCAGGTATATACATCTACCGCGCACGTGGTTCTATCCTTGATTTCCACTGGGCACTTGAGGTTTTTGTATTAGCTATGCATTTAGGCAAATGACAGTAATAGAATTCATACGAATCAAAAAACGTGTTTGCGGGCTGGTATCAACTTCGCTTTGTTGATAATTTTATTCATTCAACTATTTATGATTAAAATGTGAAGAGGCAATTCCAGAACTCGAGAAAACGTCCGCCGATCGTCCTGCCCATTACGTGACATTCAGAGTTTACTGTTCTTTGACAAAATAAATCAAGTCTATAAAAAAAGAAAATGGTTTCGAAAATACAGTGATCGCACTCCACTTTGCAGTAAGCACTATAGTGTGGACACGTTTTAGGCAAATAAAATTAGTATATAATCTCGAAAATTTCTCTACCCTGGAATATAATGTAATTATGAAAGATCCTTCCACACACACTCATATTCACACCAGCGCTGTCAGGCACTCATCTGTAACTGCAGTCAGAAATGGGCACTCACCATGAGTGAAAGAGACTTCCTTCCAGAACTGCCA